TCGGTGTAGGTTGGCATTAGGACACTCCCTCTCGAGGTGAAGCACGTGCACTCACGTGTCTCATTCTCGGTGGAGCATTCGTAGAGGACTAGGAACGGTTTCACAGGACAAAACCGTGGGACAATCCTAGTTGGCAGGTTAGAGTCCAAGGGTAGAAGTCGTATACCTATAGGTAGTGTAGACTTCACAGGGATACGGGCTAGGTATCTAGCGGGTTCGGTAGTATGACTCAGGTTAGTCTCGGGGGAAGTCAGGATAGACTTAGGAGACGGGTAGACGTCGGGTATAATCCTGGGATTGCTAGCAGGTGAAGTCTCGGACTTTACCACGGAGGGTTAGTTAGATGGTCTAGGGAGTCATACAACCGAGGGTAGCGTTTGCCGGTCGGGCAACGCGGGATAGGACTTCAGTTCGAGTCTTATCGGGGTGAACGTTCTAACACGTTTACCGAGTATTTCAGGTTTGGATAAGCAGGTCGGTGGCAGGATAAGGCGACGAGGCCATGAGGAGTCATCGACGGGAGTTTCATCAGATTCAAGATAGCACATGACTAACTCCGGTATAGGTAAGTGAGGTAAGTCAGGTAAGTTGCGTTTAAATTCCGACGAAAGTCGAGGGATCGACGAAAGTCGATCGGCGCTGGAATCGGCGAACCACTAGTGTTTATTGTTTGTTTTTTATTCCGTGTGTTCGTTCATTTCTCCACCAAGGTGGAGATTGTTGGGCTTATCAGTCCATGTGGTGAAAAAGGAATGCGGCCCAAATATGGTCTAAAACGATGTGTTTTGGCAGAAGGGTTAATGAACCCTAGTTCATTACACTCTCGTTTTGTTCTCTCGAGAAGAGGAGCACGTGGCTCGAGGCAGAAGCAAGCAAAAGGGAGAACGGAGAAAGAGAAGGGAGATTGCAGAGACGGAAGAGGTTTCCGGCGACGGCAACGCTCAGTTCGACGGCGACCGCCAAAGGCGAGTCGAGGTAAGCATCGGTAAGGGTCTCGTGTATCTTCCCGGTGGTTTTCTCATGCGGTTTTGGTTCGACGAGTCTCCGGTTTTGTGGAAGACCGTCTATTCTTGTTCTCCGGTTGTTTGTATTCGATCTCTAGTGGATTCGCCGGCGCCGTTCCATTGGTGATGAAAACCATGAACGTTGCGACGATCACAGAGACCAGTGGGGCAATCGCCGGTATCCAGAACAGTTTCTTGTTCTTCTTGCCCTGTTTTTTTTTACCAAACAGTACATTCTTTATTATCTAGTTCGTATCTTTCTGGTTGTCTGAAAAGTTTAAACGTTATACATACGATGAAGCGGGCGAGTGAATCGAATCAACCATATAGTACCTTGTTTTGGAAGACAAACTCGATTCTTCCACGAGATTTGGAAAAAGAAATCTTGATTCAATTACCCATATAGACATTGAGACGCTTTAAAGAGGTATGCAAGAGATGGAAAAGTATTATAAAGGGTAAAGATTTCTTTGTCAAACATTTTGCTTTGTTGTGGACCCGTCATATTCTTCCTTGTTTGAATCGTTAGCCATCGTTTAGTAGAAAATAGATTCCGGTTTTCTGTTCAGTATAGGTCTGAATAGGTTGGATTTGACTACGTTTAGCTGGGTAAGAGGTCGGGTTAGACAAAAATATGCTAGTATAGGTCCTGAGATTGACTGGTTTAGGTCAATATAGATCTGTAATGGTTGTTTTAGGTCTTGGTTTAGGTGTGGTTTAGCCAAATTTGGGATGGTCTAGCTTAGTCTAGGTCTGATCGGTAGGTAATTAAGTCAAAATAGGCTTGGTTAGGTCTGATTAGAGTTTAGAATGTCTATAGAGATATTGTCTAGGTCTGATCAGATTAGTATCTGATTGTAGACTTAGGTATTATCTAGTTTAGGACTAGATAAGACTCCTAAGCACCTGTTTTTGAGTCATAGAGTTCAGTACTTTGACCGGTTAGGTCTGACCGGAGAAGGCCAAGGACCAGGTGGAGTGAGTGGTTCCGCGGGTAGGTAGGGACACTACAAGAAGGAGTTGTAGGTCCCGGATGACGAGGAAAGGAGAGTCCGAGGTAGAAGGACATATGACCTCGGAGGAGTAACCGAAGTTGCTTCGGTTCTCGGTGATAGGTCAGGAGGTGAGGTCTCTACATTTAGGTGGAGTTTCCTCGGGTAAGATGCTCAAGAGATGATGTGAACTAGGAGGTATCGGGTCACCGGGTAGAGTCGGTGTAGGTTGGCATTAGGACACTCCCTCTCGAGGTGAAGCACGTGCACTCACGTGTCTCATTCTCGGTGGAGCATTCGTAGAGGACTAGGAACGGTTTCACAGGACAAAACCGTGGGACAATCCTAGTTGGCAGGTTAGAGTCCAAGGGTAGAAGTCGTATACCTATAGGTAGTGTAGACTTCACAGGGATACGGGCTAGGTATCTAGCGGGTTCGGTAGTATGACTCAGGTTAGTCTCGGGGGAAGTCAGGATAGACTTAGGAGACGGGTAGACGTCGGGTATAATCCTGGGATTGCTAGCAGGTGAAGTCTCGGACTTTACCACGGAGGGTTAGTTAGATGGTCTAGGGAGTCATACAACCGAGGGTAGCGTTTGCCGGTCGGGCAACGCGGGATAGGACTTCAGTTCGAGTCTTATCGGGGTGAACGTTCTAACACGTTTACCGAGTATTTCAGGTTTGGATAAGCAGGTCGGTGGCAGGATAAGGCGACGAGGCCATGAGGAGTCATCGACGGGAGTTTCATCAGATTCAAGATAGCACATGACTAACTCCGGTATAGGTAAGTGAGGTAAGTCAGGTAAGTTGCGTTTAAATTCCGACGAAAGTCGAGGGATCGACGAAAGTCGATCGGCGCTGGAATCGGCGAACCACTAGTGTTTATTGTTTGTTTTTTATTCCGTGTGTTCGTTCATTTCTCCACCAAGGTGGAGATTGTTGGGCTTATCAGTCCATGTGGTGAAAAAGGAATGCGGCCCAAATATGGTCTAAAACGATGTGTTTTGGCAGAAGGGTTAATGAACCCTAGTTCATTACACTCTCGTTTTGTTCTCTCGAGAAGAGGAGCACGTGGCTCGAGGCAGAAGCAAGCAAAAGGGAGAACGGAGAAAGAGAAGGGAGATTGCAGAGACGGAAGAGGTTTCCGGCGACGGCAACGCTCAGTTCGACGGCGACCGCCAAAGGCGAGTCGAGGTAAGCATCGGTAAGGGTCTCGTGTATCTTCCCGGTGGTTTTCTCATGCGGTTTTGGTTCGACGAGTCTCCGGTTTTGTGGAAGACCGTCTATTCTTGTTCTCCGGTTGTTTGTATTCGATCTCTAGTGGATTCGCCGGCGCCGTTCCAGCCGAGACGTAGGCCCGAGGAAACTCGGTAACCGAACTCGTTAAAACTCCGGTGTCGTTTCTTCTTCTTGCACGAACGAGCGTCGGAGTGGCCGTGAGAACTCGATACCGACTTCACATATATGTTTCTAATTTTGTTTCAATAAATTTAGCGAATCGTAACTCTGTTTGATTACCACGAAATACGGCGGAGGTGGTCTTGAATATTTTTAGGATAAGAGTGTGACCTCAACAATTGAAATTCATGGGAAGTCTGAAAATTTGTTAGAAGAAATTGATGTCGTGACTATAGATGGAACGGAGGTGATTGAGTAAGTGAATCGAATCAACCATATAGTACCTTGTTTTGGAAGACAAACTCGATTCTTCCACGAGATTTGGAAAAAGAAATCTTGATTCAATTACCCATATAGACATTGAGACGCTTTAAAGAGGTATGCAAGAGATGGAAAAGTATTATAAAGGGTAAAGATTTCTTTGTCAAACATTTTGCTTTGTTGTGGACCCGTCATATTCTTCCTTGTTTGAATCGTTAGCCATCGTTTAGTAGAAAATTTTCAAGGGACTACACATTGGCATCATACAATGACAGACGATTACTCGCGACGGTTTCTATCTATGTTTTCTTTTAGCAAACTTCTTCTATATTTTTCTTGATACTTAATATATTTGAGATCTGGCTGGCTATCTAGTTGAACAAGATGATGATGTTTTTAGCGACTTATACATATAAAACTGATAAAAATCGTACATATATATTTATAAAAATATTTTGGAAGCAAAGTATTAATGATGTTAATATTATAAAATATATATTTATCTCTTCAATCATTTTTAAATGTATCATAATCAAAAGTTGATGAAACAAATATCATCTCAAACATATATTAAAAAATTAAAGTAATAAACAATAAAATTTATAAAAAAAAAAGATATTTAAAACAACCAATCTAATATAAAGTATACATATATTTATAATATATTTCCTCATAGATTTAATGATGAACTCTATTTCTAATTGTGTTTTCTTTCAACAAATTTTTTCAACATTTTTCAAAATAATTACAAAATTTGAGATTTGGTTGTATCATGTAACAAGTTGGTGTTCTTAACGACTTAGATTTATAAAATTGATGAAAAGTCGTACACATATTGATAATAAAAAAAAGTTTTGGAGGGGAAATATTAATGATGTTAATAATATTATACTTATCTCTTATCAAAATTGGACACTTTCATCCACTTTTTAAATTTATCATAACCAAAAATTGATGAAACAAACATCATACCAAACATATATTGAAAAACTGAAGTAATAAACAATAAAATTTATAAGAAAAGATCATTTTGTTGTATGATTTGCCATTGGTTCCGACTTTAGAGATTGGAATCTATAGTTCAAGTTTTGTGTTTTGGGTTGGTGTAGAATCTATATACTATAGTACATATCGATTGTTGAAATATTAACTAGGTCACATATGGGCCGTATTTAGTTACTGGGCCAATTAAAATGGAATAAAAATAATGTATACTTCATCACGCGCACTAGTAGTGCGTGTTACCACGCGTTTGATTTGGACGGACGGTCACGCAGAAGTAGAACAATTATAATACGGCGCATATGCGATATGTGACTATGTGTATACATTATGCCATGTGATTAATAAATCTCAAAATGCCCGTTTTAGCCCCAAGGCTTCTCTTCTCCAAAACAGCTCCTTCGTTCAACATCCAAGCTTCCTTGACTCGCAAGCTTGTCGAATCCTCCGATCTCTGCAGCACGACCTCCCTACATGCCCAAATCCTGAAACTCGGGCTCGTAAACGACACTGTCACTACCACTCACCTTATCAATGGGTATGTCCGGATACGAGAAACGGACATTGCACGCCAGTTGTTGGATGAAATGCCTGAACCAAATGTTGTCTCTTGGACTTCGGTTATTTCCGGTTATAACGACGTGGGTCGACCTAAAATGGCTCTGATGCTGTTTCAGAAGATGCATGAAGAGAACTCGGTGTTGCCTAATGAGTTCACGTTTGCCAGTGTGGTGAAAGCCTGTTCCTCGCTCGCTAATTCGAAAGCGGGGAAAAGGGTTCATGCCCGTCTTGAGATTTCTGGGTTCAGACAAAACTTTGTGGTTAGTTCTTCGCTTGTCGACATGTATGGGAAATGCAACGATTTGGAAACAGCTCGGTGGGTTTTTTACTTGATGGGATATGACAGAAATGTTGTTTCTTGGACATCGATGATCACAGCGTTCGCCCAGAACGCTCATGGCGATGAGGCCATTGAGTTGTTCAGAGAATTCATTGCTTCAACATCAGAAAGGCCAAATCATTATATGCTGGCTAGTGTTATTAATGCGTGCTCTAGTTTGGGTCGGTTACAATGGGGAAAGGTTGCACATGGAGCTGTAATCCGTGGTGGTCATGAACTGAACAATGTTATCGCTACTTCTCTTCTTGACATGTATGCGAAATGTGGGTGTTTAAACTACTCGGAGAAAATCTTCCTAAGGATTCGTGAACATTCTGTTATCTCCTACACCTCCATGATTATGGCAATGGCAAAGCATGGACTTGGCAAATCATCGCTCAAACTGTTTCAAGAAATGGTTCAGAAGAGAATAAAGCCTAATGATGTCACAATGATTGGGATATTAAACGCTTGTAGCCATTCAGGCCTTGTCGAGCAAGGTCTAGAGTATTTCAACTCTATGTACGAGAAGCACGGACTATCTCCTAACTCAAAGCACTACAATTGTGTTGTTGATATGCTCGGAAGAGTTGGTCGTGTTGATCAAGCGTATGACTTGGCCAAAAAAAGCGAAGCTGGACCCGTGCAAGGGGCACTCTTATGGGGAGCTCTTCTTTCAGCTGCTAGGCTTCATGGAAGAGTAGACATTGCTCGCGAGGCAAGTAAGCGGCTGATTGAAACCAATCAGAAAGTGACAGGTGCTTATGTCTTACTCTCCAATGCATATGCAACGACCGGAGAATGGGAAAAGTCTGAGTATCTTCGCTCTGAGATGAAGCGTGGTGGAATCGTGAAAGAACGCGGTTCCAGTTGGATTGAGATTAAGGATTCAATATACCTTTTTCACGCCGGGGATTTGTCGTGTGATCAGACTGGTGAGATTCTGAAACTGTTGAAGGATCTGAAGGGAAGAATGAAGGAGAGAGGATACAGGGAAAGCACCAAGGCAGGTTTATCGGTTTTAGTTGATGTTGATGAAGAAGCAAGAGAGGAGATGGTGGATCTGCACAGCGAGAAATTAGCATTGGCCTTCGGGCTGATACATTTGCCCCAAGGATCAACCATTCGGATAATGAAGAACCTGAGGATGTGTGGAGATTGCCATGAGGCTTTCAAGCTGACCAGTGGCATTGTTGAGAGGGAAATTGTTGTTAGGGATGTGAACAGGTTTCATTCCTTCAAGGATGGATCTTGTACATGTAACGATTTTTGGTGATCTCTTTGTTTTTCGTTTTTCATCTGTACGCATATTCAAGGGCAAAAACATTATTGATCATGCGCATATTCTGCCAATTAGTAAATACCAAAAGATATCAAATGGTTGAAATTCTATTGATTATATTATATATCATGCCATAACAGAGTTATTGAAATATCATTTTCCGGGCATACGAGACTAAACCATGGTTTATAAAAAAAAAATTTAAAAAAATTGTATCCAAACATGGAAATAGAACAATTACAGAAGGAAATATAAAATGTGAATCAGTTACATACTGCCAAAGTTACTTGGAATGTTAATTATGATTAGATCCTAATTAGATACACAATCGATATTGCTCCATAAATTACAAGATTCTCATAATAAATGTATATACATATATATATGGTAAAACCACCAAACTAATTTCCTAAAAAAAACGTATATTCAAAATGTGTTTACAATAGCTATATATATATATATATATATATATATGACGCCAAATCACAACATATCATTCAAACAAAGAAAAACGAACAAAAAAAAGAGAGAGGAAGAAACAGAGCATATAATTCCAAAAAGATGAAGTTTGCTGCAATCTTCTTGGTCTCTTGTATCATTTCATCTTCTTTGCCAGGCCACTTCTCTCAAGGTAAGATCATATTTAGATGGATCTTTGCTCAAACCATCAATTCGATATACCGAATCCTGCTCGGTTTAACGTAATTTGGATCAAAATTTTATACCGAAACCCGGTTAGTTTTCATACAAGAGACATGAAACCAACCACCTTTAACTCTAAAGTATGAATTCTATGGGACAAAAGGAGATGAATGGAAAAAGCTATTCTCTGTGTATGTATAAAAAAAAATCATGCTATAGTTGAATATACATTATAATTGGTGGTATAAACATATATAAAAAAAATTGTATATTTGATGTTTTTTTTTGTTTGTACTGATTTGGAGGGGAATATTAATATATACAATTTTTGTTTTAAAATCAGGAGTAGAGCCAACAGGAGGACAAGATCTGGTGTGGTGCCCATCAAAGGATGTGTTCAACGGATCATGCAGTGACAGAGGAAGTCCGAGTCAGACATGCTTCCTTGACTTCCTGGGCTCTCGGAGCGCTAGTGCTATGCCTAAGAACTGCCAATGCACTCCTCAACCCAACAACCAACGTCTCTGCCAGTGTCTTGTCGTCTGTAACCGATTATAATTCTCTTCCAATCAAAACATTGTGGGTGTCTGAATGAACAGCTATCAATAAAACTAATCCATTTTCCGGATCTTTATTTAGTCCTTGAATGGTTGTAGTTTTGGGAGTTTTTAGAATCTAAAAACCAAAAAACTATCATTCAAGTTTTCCTAAAATCATAGAAAACCATTTTAATGGAAAAATCAATGAAAAACTAAAATCTACTTTTTTTAGTTTTCAAATATTATAAAATCCAAAATCCAAAAACTAAAACCAAAAACCCAAAATAAAAACCATCCCCATTCAAAACCTTAGTATTTTATCAAAATCATCAAACATTGGGTAAGAATCTTGAATCATTTGATAATCTTTTAGTATCAAAAGAAACATTGATCATCAATTATATGATTCTTACAATATCTTCTTCCTCAAAGGATTAATGGTTGATGATTTGACGTTTCTTTCGAGTTCATGATCTCAGTATATATTTAGTGGAGTGAAATTTAATTATAGTGATGATGAATAACATATAGTATGTGATTTTAGTTTTGTAATGAATGGGAATTTATCTATTGCTTTCTTTCGTTACAATGTTATCTTGTCGAATCCATCATATTTAACATTACACTTGGTGGGGAATTTGTTCATCTTTTAACAATTTCTGGCCAGTAACATAGAAATTAGAAATTAGAAATTAGTGAAAAAGAAATATGAAAATAAAAATATAAATTCAATGGGCTGGGTCTAATGTCTACGAGGTTCCGTTGTGTGTTCCCCAAAGCCGGCGCGTGTAGCCCTTCAAATCGAACACGTTCTTCAGCTACAAACCCTTTCTCTGAATCTCCACCAAATCCAACAGTTTTCCGTACAATTGGATCATCCCTCGTATAAATTCTTCGGCGGTTCAGGCATCCTAAAGTCCAACAGAGTAAGGGATTGGAGTGCGAGTTCTTCTGTGTAATGGGTCAGCAATTGCGTCGAGCCGCCGGAAAAATCAAAGAAGTTGAGAGATCTCCGTCGTCGACTTCAAGGGTCGCAGTCGATCGTCGGCCTCCACCGCCAGAGGATCTCGCCGCCGGGAAATCTGCGGTCGCCGCCGCATCCGACGACGCCTCCGGTAAAGCCATACAACCTTATTTTTTCCCGTTCGGTGGTTCGTATTGCATTTGGGAACTCGACAAATGTACATATCTGGATTTGATGTTCTGGGCATTCCGTATATACGATTGATGGTATAGGAGATGGCGGATTCTGGGCTTGTCGTTTGACTCCTGCCTGAGAAAGATTGGTTTTTTTATTGTTTGAATATGTGGTAAATATGTAGATGAAGCTCGAAGACTGAATCCGGATAATGTTTTGGAGGAAAGAGACCCACAATTCGATGCAATGTTGAGCCAAATGGTGGGGAGAATAAGGGCTAAACCTGGAGGGAAAGCCGAGATGGGAGAGGTTAGAAGATATCTTCACTTTGACTTTGCTCTTGTTTGTATTGTTCTTGTTATGTTTATATCTTCACAAATCACCAGTCTCACCAGTAAAAATCTAGACTTTTTGTCCGTGTGCTTGAGAGAATATGCTGGATCATTGGCCATAGTTTCTGGATTGATGACGGGCGAAGCTGTTATTAAGAACTGTATTGGAATCTTGAGTTTGTCTTGGCCATATCTTCCTGAATTTTCCTGTTGTCAAAGAAGAGTGGTAGAACAGATTAATTTCAGGTAGATTTGATGATGGATTGAAAAGGAACATGTAACTTTCTGCTTGGTTCTGATGTTGTATCAAGCTTTTGTCGCTTAGAGGTCATGATGGAGAATGTATCATGACTAAATATCTAAATACGCCGATAGAACGGTTGAAAATCTGATGGAAAACGAAAGGATGCACGGGATTTTTTTCGATTTAGGATTGATAACAGATGGTATCTTCTCCGAATGTGGGTGAGGTAGTGTATGTATATGATTTCGGACTCGATGTTGCATTGCATGAATTGGCCATGCATCTTCTAAATCCTTTTTATGATCAAATTCTTGGCTATTGTGGTATAGGCATCAGTGATGGAAAGGTCCAAAAGGCCCCTCCCAAAGCTCCGGAACACGATCCCCGGCTCAGGGAGGTACGAGGAAAGGCCGGCTCCTCCAGGGACACTGAACGTGGCACAAGTCCGGCACATCATGCTTCTCTATCAGGGCAAGGCCGATGATCACACCGGTCCGATGGGAGTCAAAGAGATAGCCGCGAGATACAAGATCGATGAATCTCAGGTCCAGAAGATTGTCCAGTTCCTGTCTTTACCACCAGAAGATACCAAGCAGCAGAAGAAACCGTACCAATGAAGAAACGCCATAACCGGGCAATGCTATATAATAAGGACAAAGGGTTTGGTTTCTTTAGTGAGCGTAAGACATAGATACAGAGTTGTTCACATGGTGAAGGGAGAAAACAGAGTTTTTTGGCCGAATGAAAAATCGAGTATTCTTTCATAACTGACGTTATAGCATCGACTTGTCTGAATAAAGCTGAGAGAACAAAGTTAAAACTCGCTGTCTCAATCTTTACAAAGCCGTATTGGGGTAACACGTAGTCCTATTTCTTCACCATTACAGAATCAAAGACATGTATGTTGCCTTTGACAAGTTTCAAGTCAAAAACGATTCTAACCAATCTGAAGTCAGTTCATAAGCCACAAATGTTACAGCACCTGCAGGTGCAGCTTTTATGGTGGAAGGGACAATTCCCTTATACAGACCATGCCAACCCTCTGATCTTAGGATCTGTCTCACTGCATCGAACATGCTCGTGTAAGCGTTTAGCTCTACTCGTGCTCCGTATCTCGGGTGCCGTTTCAGACCTTCGACCTGCAATAACATACCACGGTTTCTTAGTGGGATCAATACATGAGAGAATGAAGCTTACGGGGAAGAATGTAACAGCTTTGAGTTGAAAATGCCCTTGAAACTGCATCCTACATTACGATTACTCGCATTGAAAAACCTGTGACTCGAGGTGGAAACTAACCTGGAACCGTTTCTTGACAACATCGAGTGGATGGCAAACAAGTTTGGCAATGGTTCCAGCAGCTAGTCCGCATATGAAAAGCTGAAAGCTTGAAAGGCTATCATCTGGATTCTTAGAGCTTGAAGGAGACCTTCTCAAGTTATAGGCCTAAAGCAGAATGTATGCTGAAAGTGAGATAACCAGAAAATAGAGCCTAAGGAAATCTGTTTTCTGGTTTGCTTAAAACAATCACAACATGGACGATGGAATTCATAGAATCAATTCGAGATGGAGGCATGGGTCTACGTTCTAGGTAGGCATTATATAAAAAACACCCTTACTTTGCTATTCCTACTCCAACACATACCCTTCTCCAGTTTGACCATGTGACTCATGTGACCCAAAATATAGTGTAGTCACATGTTGATTTTATTGATTATAATGATAAATTTATGGTGATCTCACTAATTCATTATGTTCATATCTTATATATCTTACTAATTATTTGATTAAAACATCATAAATTTAACATTATGAGTAATGAAATTAACATGTGACCATAGTATATTTTGGGTCACAGGGTCACATGGTCACAACCAGAGAAGGGTATGTGTTGAAGTAGGAATAGCAAAGTAAGTGTATTTTTTATAATGCCCCTTCTAAGCGTATGGTTTTGGAAAAGATTAAGCTTCTCGGTATCAAAAAAGGCTTATGAATCATAGAATACCAGCATCCGACGTTTGAATGTGTCATAAGTGCCAAACTGAAGACCGGCATAAGGAATGATCTCAACCAGTGTTGGTGACAATCCGGCATACAATCCCTTGATTCCACGAGATTGCATTATACCGAGAAACGCTGATCTCATATTTGGATACACCTACCCAATGGAGACTTTTATCATATCAACATGAGCACAAGGCAAATCATCGATATCACACCATATGACTTTGTTGAAGAATCGCATACCTTAGGCTCACCCTGGGAAGCCAAAACTGTACGGAGTAAGTCAAATGGGTAAGATCCGATTGTGGCGGCACAGCCAGCAAGTGCACCACTGATGTAAGAAAGATAAGGACTCAAACGGGCATGATTTTCTGCAGAAAAAGGAACATAGATGAAAACTACAGATTCTATGTTCAACTCTAAGGAAAAAGAGATTTTGGAAGGTGATGTACCAGTTTTTGATGAACCAGCAGCAAAAGACTTGAACTTATGCAAAACTACAAACTGTATGGATGTATATGGCACAACCATAAGTAAAGCCGGGACATTTCCACGCCAAAAGCCCTGCCACAAACAACTTGATTAAAATTCAGAGAGAATTTGTGAGTCAACTTGATAAAAAGCTAATACCCTGGTGATACACCTTCACTTCCAAATTACCTGCAAAGGCAATTACTTGAGAATCTAAGACTATTGTATTTGATTTTCATGAACTTGATGAAACGGGTCAAAACACAATCTTTAAACACTTCTACAACCACTTTCATGTGGAAATCAACAGAGTTAAACTTTATATTGAAGAGATGGATAAGGGATATGTCAGGAAAAGCATGAAGCTCTTATGTTCCTCTTTGTGAAATTGAATCGTAGTGGACCCATTACAAGTCAACAACAGTATTGAGAAATGGCACAGAGGAAAAAAAAAAAGTAAACCATAAAACAATATCAAGAGACAACAGATTCCAACACTTACCAACAATCCTTCCTCTCTAAATATATCCTTTGTTGTCTGTAATAAACCATTGTACTTGGGCCTCACAGGAGAATCTTTTTGAGTCAACGCCCATGAAGCTGTGGGCTCCAATTGAACCTTAAGAATTAGAATATTAAGCTTATTTAAGACAAGCCAAGCATTAAGAAAAAACATGCACTGAGATCTACATAACAGACAGCACACAATGATATTTTGGTCCAAGCTGACACAAACATAGACACTGAAATCCAAGACCATGTCACATGATGAGGACACCATGAATAAATTTCAAGTCTAGCAACTGGCTATGCAAATAAAAAAAGAACACGGATTGAATAATGAAGGACAGAGGAAAGAACAACAATACAGTCCCTGTAGTTATTCCAAACATATAAATTCCAGGCCAGCCCTTGAACAGATTCTATAAAGGACAAATCTTCGTCAAAGAGATACCAAAAATCTGCTAACCTGAAACCTGATCTTGATAACATCAAGGGGCGAAGTTACCGAACGCGAAACAGCACCAGCAACCGCACCAGCGGAGGCATCGATCACCGCACGTTTGAGCTGTCCGGGCTCTGAAGACTCGTTATCACTCATTATCCCAAGCTCATTCTATAACCTGAAACCAAACTCTCACCATCTAATCGACATGTTACATGACACAAACACACGAGCATTCATCATATGTGTATCTGTACGACACAGAAGGATTCGAATTATGAAAAAAGTATGGCGAGAGAGAATACAATCAAGTGCAGGATTAAATAGAGCCCTAGAAAGTTTGTCCTAAAGCATCAATGCCCATTTAAAAAGGAACAATTTTTGCCAATTTCTGAGGCTCAAGTTAAATGCCGACGTATCTGAATTCCGGCCAAAGGAAAGCCAACAGACATGTAATGACAGAAAATTTCCAAGAAAATTACACAAATCAAATTTCAACACAGTCTGGTTAAATAGTCTGATACAAATTCAAAGAATTCACAATCAAAGTCATCAGATTTGACGCCGATGATTAGGGTTATCATCAGCAAAATCAGAATTACAGGTTGATGAGATTGATGTCAACCCATATCAAGAACAATTTCCCAACCTGAGATAAACCCATTACAGTATGACAATTTCGATGCTCGAGGAGTGATATTTAAAGCGAAAGAACAACTGGGAATTGGGGAATTCAGATCACGACATAAACATGCAAATGCAATGAGTAATCGGATTCATGGATGAGGAAGAGAAGAGTACCCGGAGATAGAAATGGAAGGAACCGCCATCAGAAAGCTTCTCGAAGCTTTTGGACTATAAGTAAGAAACAGAGGAGCCTTTTGCCGCCATTAATCGGGTCTCGAAGCTTGGGTCTGTAGAAGAACATGACAAACGAGTTATTAAATGGAGCACATCCGTGAGCTACTTCTAATCCCAATAATTAAAAGGGTAAAAGAAAAAGAATCTAAATAAGTATATGGAATCCACGTCATAATTAAAAACCTTTTTTCTTTTCTTTTTTTCGATTTTTAGCCATTCGAAAACCTTTAAAACTTTAAAATATGTGGACTTAATATTTGTGGGCAAAAAAAAAAGTATTTTTTTTGTTAAAGGCAAAAAAAAGTATTGATAGGTAACAAGATTTTATGGAGAAATTAATTAATAACGAATTTAAATATTGAATTTATTGATGAAGTAAAATTATATATGGTTTTGTAAATTTCGATTTTTTTTTATTTTTTCGTGAAATAATAAAATATAAAAAGATAATGAGAATTGAACTTAGATTGGAAAATCGAATTAAAATTTTGGGTGAGATTATTTCCTAACATTAGTGTTTGAAAGGGCTCTCCATATGTTCATTTCTTTTATGCGAAATTGTTGGTTCACTCAAAATATGTGAATGCCAATTCACATCTTAGAAAAAGACCAACTTTTTAGTCTTTTAGACGCACCAAACAGCATCTTATATTATAATTAAGTATTTTTAAAAAAGAAAATAAAATATCCCTTACCAAAAAAAAAAAAGAGAAAATATAATACCAATAATCTCAAACTCCAAAAAACCTCTCCGAGATGGAAAGTTTGTTTGAGAGAAACTTTTTTTTTTAAGTTGGTGTTTTTTTTTTGTTGGAAAACAATGGTTTTAGTCCCACGGGATTATATAACAATTAAAGCCTTAATCTTTTAAAATTTTATTAAATGCAAATATTTCAACCTACTAGTTTATATCATGGTGTAGCATAAAGCCAACTATATAATATTATCAAGAATATTTCGACCTACTCTTTTTCTGAAACTGTGTGTAAAATAAAACCTTTCGACTTTTCCTAATGTCAAAATCACAATTAGAAGTTTTTTTCACCAAATGATACGTTCTTTTATACTTTTCAATGTTTAACAAATTTTAATAAATTCCATTTTTTATATTTTTTTAGAGTCAATTGTCATGTTTGTTTAAAATAATTTTGTGTACATTTCTGGCAGAAATTAATTCAATATCAAGCAAATTAAATGCCACGGTGACGACTGACGAGTCAATCAAACATTTTTAATACAAATATAGGAAAGATAATAATAAAATTGAATGAAATATGGTGACGACGGACGAGTCGATCAAACATTTTTTTTATAAATATAGGAAATATAATAATAAAATTGAATGAAATATGGGTTTCCACTCACAATGGACAAGTCCCCACACAAAACACGATGAAAATTAAACAAAGGAGAAATCGTCATATAAATTACAAAAGACAATATCAACATAAAGAGAAGTAAACAAAAAAAAGAAGAACAAATTACACATTTAAAAAAAAACATTTCCCAAAAAGAAAAAAGAGAGAAATAACATGTTCTCATTTGTCTCAACTCGTTAAAAACTTTGAACTAAGATTTTTCAATGGGCCCAAAACAAAATTAAAAATCAAACCCAATGTCTGCCACGTCAGATACAATATCACCGATCAACAACCCACCAAGCGCTCCCCCCAGAAGCCCCGCCCCTAGTCCAAGCCCCGGTTTATTCTTCCGCTGCAGCGGCGGCGGTGGTGGCGGATATCCGTACCCGTAGCTGCCCGGCGGAGGAGGAGCCGCCACGTAAGCGTAACTCGGATGAGGCGGTGGCGCGTGATAGTACGCGTGGCCGGGCTTTTCAGGCGGCAGCGGAGGATACGCGTAGGGATGATACTGTGGCGTACCGTAAGCCGGCGGTGGACCGGTCGGTGGAGGAGGATACGTGGTGAACGGTTCGCCAAATTGAACCGGAGGAACCCAGCTCGAACCGGTCGGTTGAGGCGGGTAAGCGGTGACTGACTCATCCAACTTGACCGGTTCACCCAATTTTCCTGGGTCCGGGTAGAGGGAAACCGGTTTATCGGGATAAGGCTGCGGCTGATCAGGCGGAGGATACCCAAATTGCGGCTGTGATGGCGGAGATGGATAAGCAGAAACCGGCGGCGGTGGAGGATAAACCGGAACTGGTAGATCCGATGTCGCCGGGTTTGTATAAACCGGGGGAGCAGGAAGATCCGATTTAACCCCCCCCTCTCCAACACCCCGCTCTCTATCCCCTTCCTGCCCCATCATCCAACCTTGGATTACATTATAAGACCCCCGTTCATAGAAACCATTTTTATTCAAATTTTAAAATAAAATAATTTTGAACCCGTAGCTGCCCGGCGGAGGAGGAGCCGCCACGTAAGCGTAACTCGGATGAGGCGGTGGCGCGTGATAGTACGCGTGGCCGGGCTTTTCAGGCGGCAGCGGAGGATACGCGTAGGGATGATACTGTGGCGTACCGTAAGCCGGCGGTGGACCGGTCGGTGGAGGAGGATACGTGGTGAACGGTTCGCCAAATTGAACCGGAGGAACCCAGCTCGAACCGGTCGGTTGAGGCGGGTAAGCGGTGACTGACTCATCCAACTTGACCGGTTCACCCAATTTTCCTGGGTCCGGGTAGAGGGAAACCGGTTTATCGGGATAAGGCTGCGGCTGATCAGGCGGAGGATACCCAAATTGCGGCTGTGATGGCGGAGATGGATAAGCAGAAACCGGCGGCGGTGGAGGATAAACCGGAACTGGTAGATCCGATGTCGCCGGGTTTGTATAAACCGGGGGAGCAGGAAGATCCGATTTAACCGGACCCGAATCGAACCGGTACGAGAACGTTAACGATCCTTTCCCTCTGCCGGAAGGAGTTCTCACCTGATACGTCACAAACTTCATCCCGTTACCGTTAGTTGACGGTGATGGCGGATTCGAGCCGATAAGCTCGAGAACGGGGACGTTGACTTCTCCAATTTCCTTATCCCCAAGGACCCGATCGCAGACCAGCTTCACGACGAGGGTCAAACGGCCATCACGGACCAAACGGTCGTTGGCGGAAAATTTCACGGCGTGATTCCAAGTGGGGTTGGATCCACCGGAGCGATCGATGGGGGTCTTCATCTTCAGATTCTTCTGGGTATCATCGCCGTGGATCGAAACGACGGCGTACGCGTCCATCTTCGTGATGATATTGACGTTTTCGAGGTCTTTCGCGGAGTAGATGTTGAGCTCTAGGGTTAGATTCGCCATTGCTGGACGGAAACTGAGGTCTAGGGAGAGAGAGACAGAGAGAGATTTTAACCCAAAAAAAAAAGAGATAGAGAGAGATTGAGAAGATTCCAATGAGAACTGGTTCCGTGTCGGTAAATGACTAAATATCGTGTTAGATAAAAGCGACGCGTGTAAATATATGGTATTTAATATTAATGATGTTAATGAAAAAGGAAGGTTCTGATTTGCTTCCAATTAAATAATAAAATAGGAGTTTACTTGTAACTTGTAAGCATCTTAGCCGTTGGTTGCATGACATTTTATACCAAATCTGATTGTTGGTCCATGGAGAGATATATAAATCTATTTTGATTGAGTCCTTGCAATGGGTAAATGATGAAAAAAAGAGTATATATATGAAAAGTATTATAGAAAATTGGGTAATATATGCATTATGTCATTGTTTTTCAGATTTATTATTATTATTATTATGATGATGATGATGATGATGATGATGATGCCTTTATCTTGGTCGATTTCAGATACATCTTCACTAATTTTTTATTTTTTAAAAAAAACTGTCGTTAATGAACGCATAAATCCTTGTTTTACACGGTCTACTATTGCCGTGTATTATTAATTCGACAATTAATTCCTATCATTAAATGATTTTATCACATGAAAGATAACAAGGACCACCAATTACTAGAACAAATGAACAATTTCTGCCGTTATTTGGGCTTCCAAGAGTCGAGCAATTTGGTCAACGAGTCATGAGACGAACCGGACTCGGTCAACGCAGCCTCGGCCGCCGCCTTCATGGCCTTGGTTCGGTCCCTGACCGGACCACCCTCCATCAGCTCACGTACTCGTTTCTCAACCTCGATCGAGCTCACGAAACCGGAATTCGATTCATTCATCGGTATACCGATCTTGATTTCTTCCACCATTATTACTCTGTTGAAATGTTGCTCCGCGTACAATGGCCATGCCACCATTGGAACACCTGCTCTTGTCAAATGGCTAAGAACCGATCAAATCATGGAAAAAAAAAAGAAATTAAGATTTCGAATTGGATGTAAATTATAATGTGAAATTAAATTTTTTTACCGGCGCAAATGGATTCGAGTATGGAATTCCACCCACAATGAGTGACAAATCCTCCGACAGCTTTGTGATTCAGCACCGCAACCTGAGGAGCCCACGATTTCACGACCAGTCCCCTGTCTCCGGTTCTGTCCAAAAACCCCTCCGGTAAGAGGGATTCCAAATCCGGTTCAGTCCGGTTAGGTAAACCGGGTGGATTACGCACCACCCACAAGAACCGATGTCCACTTCTCTCCAACCCGACAGCAATCTCCTTCAACTGTTCCTCAGAGAACAAGCCTAAGCTCCCGAAACACAGGAACACGACTGTCTTTTCAGGTTGCGAATCTAACCATCTCAAGCACGAATCTTCGTTCGTGTCTTTGTCTCCTTGTCTGCGGTCGACAATGAGCGGTCCGATCGGATAAATCTCATGCAAACCGAATTCCTCCATTATCGCCATGATTGCTCTGTTCTCAAGCTCTTTAAACGTGTTCACGATGATTCCGGCCGAGTTTGGAAGCTCTTTAGCGAACGTAACAAAGCACTGGTAGACCTCGTCGTCCCGTTCGAGCAATGGCTTGGCCATGTCGGAACCCTTAACCCCTGAAACTCCGGGTATGTCAAGAAACGTGTCGATGTCTTTAAGGTTCTTGTCGGTGGACTCGTGAATGGTCGGGAGATGGAAGAATGAGGCCAGACAGGCGGCGCCGGAGGTGAAGAAGTAGTAAACCGGGAAATCGAAATCAGAGACGATGTCTAACACGGCGGTGCAGAAGAAATCGATGATGAATGCTCGAACGTTGAATTCGTGGGAGATGGAGAAAAGGGTTCGATGGACGTTAGGGTTACTGAAACAGAGAGTTTCCAGGACGAGTGACTCATGCGGGTGGCGAGTGGTGGCGATGGCGGCGGTGGTCGGAGAGAGAGTGACGGCGGGGAGGCGGTGGAAGGTGATGTCGGAGGAGACGCCGGAGATGTAAGAGGCGGTGGATTCCGGTAGGTAAGGGGAGGGAGGGATGATGACGTGGACAGAGAGGGTAGGGTTTCGGGTGAGGATGAGCTTACCGAGCTCAACCATGGCGACCAAGTGACCTATTGGAGGTGACGGGTACAGAACTATGGCTTCTTCCATGGCCTTTGGTTATGGTTTTTGCTGTGTTCTTGAGATAATATATGGGAATCCATATATCGTAATTATGAAGAAAAAGCCAAATTGAAGAAACCAACATCTAACATAGAACCTTATCAAAAAAACATCTAACATAGAAAAAACGTGTGGCCCTCGTGAATCAATCGATTGAACATTTTGTTGGGTGTATTATTTTATATGTCTCATATTTATGTATGGTTCACTTTCAATTTCATATCAAGACTTTCGAGTTTAATAACTTTCAGAACATACAACTAAATCATGCATGCTATACACCATTAGAAAAATAATTTCGATATCTATGAAACGATATCAAGAACATGCAATTCCGATAACAGTACATAAAGTTATGATCAAACCAATATCATTAAATCTATATGGTTTTTTTTAAAAATCGGAAAACCAAATCCGAACCCACGGCGAACCGTGTCTCCTTAAGGAAATTATTCTCCGCATGGTACCTACGGTTAATGGAATATATCCTCCCAGGATAGGACGGACGTACCTCACCGGAACAGTGGTACTTCAAACTCCGGTGCCTTGTCGAACTCAAAGCTCGGTTTGAATCACAAAGGAAAAGATGTTTTTCTTTCTTTTGTAGAAAGCTTTTGTGTTTTTCTTGGTGTTGTTGTGTAGAAAAATGAAAAGAAAGTATCCTATTTATAGGATTAGAAAATTGTAAAACTTCCAAAAATCATAAATATATTTAAATTTGTAACAACAAATGGAGGATAACTTATACAAAAAATAAAATGGAAAAAACCTCCATTCATTTAATTTATAAAAAACCCCAACAATCCCCCACATGAATGGAGAATTTTAGAAATCTCTTTAAAACCATGCAATTTTTGTGATTCAATTATGAAAAATTAATTGCATCTGGATAAGTAGGTTTCCCTTTGAACTTTCCATAGTGGATTTAAATCGGATATACTCACCAATCGGTAGATGCGATATCTTTGAACCGTCGGTTTTTTATGTATACCAAGACAATCTAAACCACACAATTAATTCTTAACCGTCTTTGGTTCTCACTGTTGTGTTCGTTTCAGCCATGAACACCTGCCTGGTTTCATGAAAGCGTAGAGAACTGGCCAACCATTATTCTCCTTGAAGCGGCCCACACTTCACTTTCACATAGGTGGTTTCCTAAGCGTGTCATCTCTGAAGATACACTATTTGATCATGTCAAATTTAGGAACCATTAAAAATTTCTTAGCTTTTAAGTCTTCCAACTTAAAGCCGTATAATTTGTCCTTTTCCATAGAATATTGTCTCATCATGAGAATGAGTTGGGTTATATTTGACAATGTTGAACTGTTAGTTACGACTTTGTATTCTCTTTGAACCTAGTTCTTGGGATCTCCAGTCTACTAGATAGAGTTACCACCGTACTAACTTGTCCTTGGCCATAAACCCATTCCCTTGGATGATTTTTCAACTAAATCTCTACAAAGACCTTTTGTAAGTGGATCAGCTATATTATCCTTTGACTTCACGTTGTCAACAGTGATAATACCACTTGAGATTAGTTGTCTAACGGTATTATGTGTACGTCTAATGTGACGAGACTTTCCGTTGTACATCACACTTTCTGCCCTTCCTATTGCAGCGAGATTATCGCAGTGTATGCATATAGGTGTCAACGGTTTGGGCCAATACGGAATATCTTCCAAGAAATTCCTAAGCCATTCAGCTTCTTCACCAACTTTATCCAAAGCTATGAATTCACTTTCCATTGTAGAGCGAGCGATACATGTCTGTTTTGATGATTTCCAAGACACAACTCCTCCTCCAATCGTGAAGACATATCCACTCGTGGACTTTGTTTCACTTGACCCAGTAATCCAATTTGCATCACAATATCCTTTAAGCACAGCTGGATATTTAGAGTAATGTAATACGTAATTTTGAGTATGTTTTAAATACCCCAAAACACGTTTCATTGCCATCCAATGACTAGTATCTGGATTACTTGTATACCGACTGAGTTTACTTATTGCACAAGCAATATCTGGTTGAGTACAGTTTGCGATATACATCAAGCTTCCTAGAACTCTTGCATAGTCCAATTGAGACTCACTGTTACCTTTGTTCTTTGCAAGAGCAAGGTTCACATCAATTGAAGTTCTTGCGACTTTGAAGTCCAAGTATTTAAACTTCTCAAGTACTTTCTCAATATAATGAGATTGAGAAAACGCAAGACCTTCAGGAGTTTGAATTATTTTAATTCCAAGAATTAAATCAGCAACTCCTAAATCTTTCATGTCAAATCTTGTGGATAGCATGCGCTTTGTATCGTTTATAGTTGAAATGTCATTACTCATTATCAACATATCATCCACGTATAAACACACAATGACAATTCGATTAGGAGTGTTCTTAATGTAGATACATTTATCACTCTCATTAATCTTGAAACCGTTTGTCAACATTACATTGTCAAACTTAGCATGCCATTGCTTTGGTGCTTGTTTAAGTTCATACAAAGACTTAACAAGTCGACACACCTTACCTTCTTTTCCCGGAACTACAAACCCTTCAGGTTGTTCCATATAGATTTCTTCCTCTAAATCTCCATTTAGGAAGGCGGTTTTAACGTCCATTTGATGGATTTGCAAATCATAGATGGCAGCCAAAGCAATTAACACCCGAATGGATGTAATTCTCGAGACTGGCGAATATGTATCAAAATAGTCAAGACCTTCTCGTTGTCGAAAACCTTTCACAACTAGTCTCGCCTTGTACTTGTCAATAGTACCATCATTTTTTAATTTTCTTTTAAAAATCCATTTGGAACCTAACGGTTTGTTCCCTGGAGGAAGATCAACCAACTCCCATGTATGGTTGCTTAGTATGGATTCAATTTCACTATTGACAGTCTCTTTCCAATATTGAGCTTCAGAAGAAGTCACAGCTTCCTTATATGTTTGAGGCTCATTTTCCAACATAAATGTTAGAAAGTCTGAACCAAATGAGGTAGCAATCCTTTGACGTGTACTACATCTAGGTTCTAATCTGTATTCACTTCCCGATTTCGTTTGGTTCCTTTATTAATTGATTCACATTCTCTTTTATACGGAAAGATCGTTTCAAAGAATTCAGCATTATCTGACTCAATCACCATATTCCTTTGAATATCAGGGATTTCAGATTTGTGAATCAAAAATCTGTATGTTTTACTTTTTGTAGCATAACCTATGAAAACGCAATCTATCATTTTCGGTCCTATTTTAACCCTTTTTGGGAGAGGAACTTGGACATTTGCTAGACACCCCCACACTTTGAAGTAATTCAAGTTAGGCTTTCTTCCTTTCCATTTTTCATATGGAATGGATTGTGTCTTACTGTGGGGAACTCGATTGAGTATTTGAGTAGCTGTTAAAATAGCTTCGCCCCACATATTCTCGGGTAAACCGGAACTTATCAATAAGGCATTCATCATCTCTTTCAATGTTCGATTCTTCCTTTCCGCAATTCCATTGGATTGTGGAGTGTAAGGGGCGGTTGTTTGGTGAATAATGCCAAATTCCAAATATACTTCTTCAAACGGAGATACATATTCACCGCCTCTATCACTTCTGATCATTTTGATCCTTTTATTGTGTTGTGTCTCAACTTCATTTTTGTATTGTTTAAATGCAACCATAGCTTTATCTTTGCTATTAAACAAATAAACATAGCAATATCGTGTGTTATCATCAATAAAAGTTATAAAAAACTTTTTACCACCGCGAGATGGTGATGATTTCATATCACAAATATCTGTATGAATTAAGTCTAGAGGTTCACTACTTCTCTCAACTGATTTGAAAGAATGTTTAGTAAACTTAGATTCAACACATACTTCACACTTTGATTGCTTACAATCAAATTTGGGCAACAATTCCAAATTGATCATTTTTCTCAAAGACTTGTAATTCACGTGTCTCAATCTAGCGTGTCATAGATTATTCGACTCGAGTAAGTAAGCGGAAGAATTAGAAATTACAAACAAGTTTTCTGTCTTCATTGGTAAAAGGTTCTTATTACCATTCATGGTCATTACATTGAGTTTGAAAAGTCCCTCAGTGAGGTAACCTTTTCCAACATACATGTCATTCTTATTTATTACAAGCTTGTCGGAAACAAAAACACATTTGAATCCATGTTTCACCATCAGTGATGTCGACACTAAGTTCTTCCGAATCTCCGGTACATGAAGAACATTAGTGAGAGTCACTATCTTTCCGGAGGTCATCTTGAGGGCAACCTTTCCAGTCCCTTCAACCTTCGCAGTTGTGGAATTTCCCATGAACACAGTTTCTCCATCTTTAGCGGGAACATAAGATGAGAACATCCACTTATTGGCACACACATGGCAGGTAGCACCGGAATCCATCCACCATTCCTTGGGATTTCCAACCAAGTTAACTTCAGAGATCATGGCACACAAATCAATATCTTCCACTCCGGAAGCAATCTCCATGATGTTAACATTGTTTTTCTTCTTGGTCTTTGGACCACGACAATCCACAGCTCGGTGACCAAGTTTACCGCAGTTGTGGCAAGAATCCTTAAATTTCTTAACAAATTTATTCGGGTTATTCTTTTGGTTAGAAAAATTCTTTCTTTTCTTACCAACAGATGGAGCATGTTCAATGACGTTTGCTCCTAAGATCGAGCTTGTCCCGCGAGCTTTCATTTCGGTCATCTTGTTGTCTTCTTCAATTCTGAGACAGACAATCAAGTCTTCAAGCGACATCTCTTTTCGCTTGTGTTTCAAGTAGTTCTTGAAGTCCCTCCACGAGAGTGGTAACTTCTCGATGAAGGCAGCTACTTGAAAAGTTTCATTGATCATCATACGGTCTTCAAGCGACATCTCTTTTCGCTTGTGTTTCAAGTAGTTCTTGAAGTCCCTCCACGAGAGTGGTAACTTCTCGATGAAGGCAGCTACTTGAAAAGTTTCATTGATCATCATACGTTCAGCAAGAAGATTCTGAACAATGACTTGCAGTTCTTGAACTTGGGTTGAGACAGGTTTATTGTCAACCATCTTGAATTCAAGAAACTTGGCGGCTATGAACTTCTTCATACCGGCATCTTCAGTTTTGTACTTCTTCTCGAGAGCCTCCCATAACTCTCGTGAAGTAGCAACTGTACAAAAGACATTATATAATGAGTCATCTAAACCACTCAAAATATAGTTCTTACACAGGAAGTCTGAGTGCTTCCAAGCCTCAATCACCACGAAGCATTCCTTTTCCGGTACAGACTCTACCGGTTTAGTTACATCTTCCTTGATGTATCTTTGCAATGACAATGTTGTCAAATAAAAGAACATCTTTGTCTGCCACCTCTTGAAATCAACACCGAAAAACTTGGCCGGTTTTTCCGCAGGTGCTGGTGCAGGGGGAGTCACTGTGGGTACAATCACAGGCATAGCAACAACATTTTCAGCCATTTTCTAAAAATCAGAATACCACTTTTTAGTATTACAACTAAAAATATCAGAATTTTAAAACCTTACGGTAATAATTTTTGAACTCGATTATTTAACCACGCGGGTAATAATCTCAAAACCTCAATGAGGAAAACATAAAACTATTTAAGTGTTATTTAGATCGTTTCCAGGTAAGAGGGAGCCAACTCTATATATAGAGCGCATAATTATCCAACCTCTTTCCTTGACAAAACTTTCTCACCGTCAACACTTAAATATTTTCTTGGTTTTTTTTTCGAAATTGAAAAACTTTACTTTGTCTCCCCGGGACGAAAGTTCGTTTTTCCACCAATAACAAGACAATATATAATAACACAATACACATTAATTTCCTTAAGCTTGTTGGGTGTGTTACTTTATATGTCTCATATTCATGCATGGTTCACTTTCAATTTCATACCAAGACTTTCGAGTTTAATAACTTTCAGAACATACAACCAAATCATGCATGCTATACACCATTAGAAAAATAATTTCGATATCTATGAAACGATATCAAGAACATGCAATTCCGATAACAGTACATAAAGTTATGATCAAACCAATATCATTAAATCTATATGGTTTTTTTTTAAACCGGAAAACCAAATCCGAACCCACGGCGAACCGTGTCTCCTTAAGGAAATTATTCCCCGCGCGGTACCTACGGTTAATGGAATATATCCTCCCAGGATAGGACGGACATACCTCACCGGAACAGTAGTACTTCAAACTCCGGTGTCTTGTCGAACTCAAAGCTCGGTTTGAATCACACAAAAAAAAGATGCTTTTCTTTCTTTTGTAGAAAGCTTTTGTGTTTTTCTTGGTGTTATTGTGTAGAAAAATGAAAAGAAAGTCTCATATTTATAAGATTAGAAAATTGTAAAACTTCCAAAAATCATAAATATATTTAAATTTGTAACAACAAATGGAGGATAACTTATACAAAAAATAAATGGGAAAAACCTCCATTCATTTAATTTATAAAAAACTCCAACACATTGACAAAGATTTCATTTGCCACATCATTTTCATTTCATACATCTCTAACCAAAGACAAAAACTTTATAGAAAGTCACAATAATTACAATACAACGTGAAAACATATCAAAGGCGGCCACAGTCGTAACGGGTGTGACGAAATTGGCTACGGCCGAAGAGAACGATCAGAAACAGTAGAAGCATTAACCTCACGACCACAGACGAAGTTCGAAGCAAATGGCCGGTGAGATAAGTCTGAGTAGAGAGGCCGACGAGCCTCATCCTCCGTTCGTTCACGTACTCGTCTAATGCCTCTCCGATCCGCTTAGCCGATGAACCCTTGACGCCGTCGTCCCAACCTAACTTCTTGGCCAAGCATCTTGCCAGCACAACCGCATCCTCTAGCGCAGCGGACCCACCTTGTCCTATGAAGGGACCCATCACGTGCATTGCGTCCCCGGCCACGGTCACCGTGCCTTTTCGGAATTTCCCGAACATGATGTTCAATGGCGATTTGTACTTTAGATGGTATAGCGACAAGGAATGTACATCGCAGTTCTTCACCATCTCTTTCCAATCTTCCGGGAAGTCCCTCATCGAATCTAGCGTCAAATTCGCGATCGCCTCTTGATCTTTTGCGACGATTCCGACTGTATATTCGAATCCAAGATCCATAAAGAAAGGGTTAATCGATCTTGTGGGGAATCTAAAGGTGAAAACTTTATAATGGAAAGTATAACAATAGCATTACCTTTGGAGGAATCTTGCAAATGGGCAAACCAGAAGACGAGATTATGGGTCACGGGAAGGCGCCCGCTCATGGTGTTGCCAATCTTCATCCTCAGAAGCTCCTGCGGGAATCCATGGCCGTTTGGATAAAACGCGAACCCTCTGACTGCACCAGAAGGAAACGCTTTCTTCGGGCTCAGCTTCAAAAAGTCCGCAACCATTGAATTTGCTCCGTCGCATCCAATCAGAACCTTGGCCTTGATGGTCACTCCATGGCTCAGCTGAAGAACAGGAAACGAGGTTGTCTCGTCGAGATTTATGGAAACTATTTGAGACCCGGCGTCGGCAAGTGCTCGAACCAAATCGTCCCTCTTAAGGCACCGCGCTTCGTCACTGTCCACAGCCATGAACAAAGAAACTATAAGGATAATATAATAATTATGCAATATATGATTTAGTGTATGTATATATAATATAATACTGTAATGTACGTTATAAAAACTTGAAGAATAATAATCTGGTCGATGCATAAGTATCATAGGTTATAGAATGATAGACACATACGAGATGGGAGAGGCCAATTCCCTGTGCTTCCCGTTATGAACCAACACTGTTCGTACTCTGTTTTACGAGTGACGTACCAAAAAATGAGAAATTACAAAAAAAAAATGATATTAAGTAATTAAATAATTAAATATATAGAAGAAAAGACTAAATTAAAAGAAAATATAGTTTGGGTACTTGTGAATTCTAAGAGAAGTGGGACGGAGGACGTGGGAGACACCGAGGTGGTCGAGAGCCCTCCATCCATTGGCGAGTGTACCGATTCCCGCTCCCTCTGACCGCACCCTATCCCCCCTCTCCAACACCACGCTCTCTATCCCCTTCCTGCCCCATCATCCAACCTTGGATTACATTATAAGACCCCCGTTCATAGAAACCATTTTTATTCAAATTTTAAAATAAAATAATTTTGAAAATATTTTAATATAAATTGTTGAGATGATAATTCATATTAGAATTTCAAGACAAAGAAGCAAACAAGAGAATATTTCGCAGAAAGGCTCAGATGGGCACAACAAAAATAGGATTCGAGTATCGTACAGAAGAAAACTTAGGCTTCGCCAATTCTGATTTCATTGAAATCAAGAAAATACACACACACATATATGTATATATACATGTGTATGTGCATATGTGTGTGTGTGTGTATATATATGTGAAAACGCAGGAGGAGGGAAAACCTGTGAAGAGCGAGAGACGTGGCGAGACCGGCGATGCCACCGCCTACTATCACTATGTCGATCTCCTCCATTGGTTTCCCTTTCTCCTTTGTTTGTCGCTCTCTTTGTATTTTACTTCTTTGATAATTATCAAAGGATCTGCAACTATATATGCATACATATATACACGTGTGTGTCTGTATATATAAATGTAGTGGGGAAACAAACAAGTTGGGTGACGTGGGTCCATCTTAATTGATTTGTTTTTCCACGCCCGTACGCATTTATGACAAAGACCTATCCACGAATAGTCAACAAACTTAGACTAATTTCTTTTTTATTTTTTGAAAAAAATCGGTATATCATTCTCTTTACACAAACATCACATATTTCGATTCTACGAATAAAAATTTTGAATTTTGCGTCCTTTTCATAGTGAAGTTTACTACAAAACAACTTGTTGGATATATATACCCTTACATTTACCTATTTTTATTGATATATATATATATATATATATTATATGTTACACGCATGCGATGACGTCACACGACCGCATGACCGTGGCGGCCCATGTGGGATCGATCCGTAATGGCAATCTCGACCAATTCAGTTGTCTTTTTTTTTTTTGGTAATCGTTATCCCGGATCAAAGTCTAAAATAATTTCAGAGAGTCAATCGTGTGATTTGGATTATATACTACATTCCCTAAATTTGAGATTTGAACTCGAGATAGAATAGACGTTTTGAACTCCGTTTCACCGATTAAAATATTCAAATTTAGATATAGATTTAGGTCAAGATATATAGTCAAATTATCCGAAATATTATTCAATTCATTATCTATATTTTTCTTTAGTTAGTTTTTTTTTACAATTGGAAGTTCACCTAGACTTTCGACCCAATTTACATCTCTCTTGGTCCAGAGTCGACAACCTTTAAAGTGCATTTAATTGCACCCTCTTTAACCTGCAGCTCGAACTTAGAACCTAGGGGTGGACACTTCGGTTCGGGAATTTAATACCAACCCGATCCGTCCCGAAACCGAACCGGACCGAACCGAAATCGAATAACGTTTGGTTCTAATTTGGTACACTTTTTATGGAACCGAATGAACCGTTTCTGAACCGAACCGTATGAATACCGAACCAAAATTCTAATATTCCACTAATATATGTGTAAATATTATAGTTCGGTACTTATTTGGTATTCATATAATGGTACCGTTCCGAACCGAACCGATTCTAAAACCGAATCGAACCGAACTGTTTAACATTCGGTTCTAGTTTGGTACACTTTTTATAAAACCGAAAATACCGTTCCCGAACCGAACCGTTTGAATACCGAACCGAAACCCGAAACGTCCACCCCTATTGGAACCTGAAGGAGGGATATCTCCCACCCTCCAACAGCTACACCACTCGGCTACGGCCTCTTGGTTCCCTTTAGTTAGTTTCAATCCTCATTTCATTAAGGGCGTGACTGGTTGCGCCGCTCCGAACCGCAAACGGAGCGGTTGCGATTTCTGGCGGTTGGTGGTGTCTGATAAACCGACTGGTTAACCCGCAACTAATCGTAAACGCAACAGAACTTTAAAAATCAAAACGCAGGTGATAAGTTGCGTTTCGATTGCGATTTCTGGCGTTTATATAAAAAGACCAAAATACCCTCATTAAAATTGTAAAACCCTAAATTATTCGAAAGCCTCATTCCTTCATCGTTTCCTTTCCTCTGTATTTTGGAGTTCTCTCGTGCCCTAATATCATCAGAGTGGTTGTCATCTCCGTTTGAGGTTAGTTCATACTTTCTAAATTTTGCTTATTTCTCTTGTGTGATTCGATTTCCTTGTTCGTCGATGCTTGTACATAAACTGTATCTCTGTTTTGCTTTTTGTATGATTCGATTTTTACCTTCCGTCGAAATTTCAAAGGATTTGTTCAATTTTCGGTTTGGGTTTCTGAGATTTCAGAGTTATAATTGCTTATTCGTTACCTATGATTAGATTTTAATGCTCGAATCAGTGTCCAAACCTGTAATTTGGTTTTATAGAAAATGGGTTTCACGTATGGTAATTTTCTTAAGCATGTTTTTGATTCTCCATTTTTGTTTTTAGGATTTCATACCATTTTTTTTTTGTTGGGTAATGTTTAGTTATCGATTTTAACATATAGGAAAGATAAGATATGAAGCAGAGGCATGGGTCTCAATCTTCTTCGGTCTAAGGTGTGATCTCCGTTTATGATTTACGTATGGATATTCTAAAATATGCTTTTGATTTGATCTGTAGAAAAGCTTGTCCCTCCAAAGCTTTATCCTTTCTCGGTTCCAGTTATGATTTTATGACTTTTTACCATTGTGATCTGCTGGCATCATGCCTCTTATTGTCCTGCGGATTATTACAACCTCAAATCATGGACGGGCAAGCATGTAATAACCTGCAGCAACGGCCGTTGCGAGCGAAATAAGCATCTGATTGCTTCTTAACCATATTAATCGCGGCTATAAGATGTGACTAGTACTCCATAATGGTTGAATATTAGAAGCGTGTTGACGGGTATAACCCTTTTTTTGCGGTGGGCTTATGAGATTTGGTATGGGGTTAGTATTACAGAAGAGATGATCTTGCTTCGGAGGGTGAGTAGTGTATTTAGAGTTGTGGGTGACAGTGAGTTACATTTAGGGTAGAAACAATATGGTTGACGAGATTCAGATGGGAGATGGTGAAGCCCTTTTTGTAGTTATTTGTCACATCTCCATCACGTTATGATATGGATGATGACCGATTCTATGATGCGACAACGGATGACTATATGGCAAATGTTAGAGAGGAGATCGCTAAAGAAATATGGGATGCGACGGATTAATATTTTTATTATGTTTTGTTTTTCATTTCAATTTCAATACATTACGTTTTGTGCAAAATATTATATATATATATATTGTTGATGACTTTATTATGATTTGAATTTATTTTTTGATATTGTATTTTACTAAATTGCATTATCACATGATTATAAAAAATTTTAAATTTATCAATAATTATTTTTGATATTTTATCAAAAATTATTTTTTAATTAAATATAAATTAAATTGATGAAATTTATATTTTAAAATATTTTATATAATTGTTTATAAATTATATAAAATATTTTTTATCAAATGATAATATAAAATTAATTGTAATTGATTTAAAAAATTATCTTAAAATCATGTCCTTTTTGGTAATTTATATCAAAACGCAACCGCAACTGTGTCCAACCATTCACTCCTACTCGCAACCAACCGCAATCGCCACCAACAGTCATTTACAAACCAGTCAGTACCAATCGCCTACAATCGCTAGCAAACACTCTGAAAACGCTATCACCCGCAACCGCAACCGCTGCGGTGCAACCAGTCGGGCCCTAATTTTCACAAACGATAATTCTTTCTGATAACATAATGATAATTATCTATCTACTTTATGTTACACACATAAGTAGGAAAAAAATAAAGGATTATAAGAAATAGCGTACAGAAAAAAAATATAAAACAAACCAGAGCAACAAAATTTTATGAGCATAACAATGCATGCATACTAATACTATATAATATTAATCCATAACAAATTATATATAACTATATGTGTGTATACATCTTGAAAGTAATAATAGGTAATTAAAGCACACCTCAGCACTTAGTCTTAGGTTTATCAACCGAAACCGAAACGAAGCTCGAGCTCTTCGCATATTCACACATGCATCTAACCCCTCTCAAAGAAGTATTTTCAAATCGAATTTCCCTAAATTTCTCGTCTTTCGCCTCGTAGACCAACATCTTGTCTCCATATCTATCATGGCCTTTATAACCAGTTAGGGTTATCACGAGTTCGCCGCCCCCCGTGACGCAAGCAGCCGCAATCTTGATCGGCCCTCGTAAGGAAAGTGCCTTTCTCGTTCGGACCCAAACAGAACTGTCCCATCTCACGATCTTCGGGCCGCTCCTCTGAGGGGCATATACGCTGATATCGTCGGCCAAATCGGGGTAATGATCGATGACGCATACTTCTCCTCTTAAAACCCCTAGCCAGGAATTGATTTTCCACCTCGAGTTTATTGGAAGGGTTTGTTCTTGGAATTCTTCCTTGGTGAAATCAAAGGACAAGATCGAGTTTTCTTTCTTGTCTGACCGGTAAGCAATCCAGTACATGTTGTTGTCCACGACCGTACCGCCGGCTCGGTATTTGAAAACGAAATCATGAGAAGGAACCGGTTTGCTCTCTTCCCAACAATTGGATTTGAACTTGAAGATGTAAGTCCTTCCCTCTATGATCGTCACGATCTTGTAGTCATCGGAGAATTTATCGTAACCGAACCCGAAAACGTCTGATCTCTGACCCGGTTTAACGACCGGTATGAACTTGAATCGGTTAGTAGCCGGGTTCAGAATCACCAAGGAGTTATCTTGTTTTTTGGTGAAACGGGAGTTGCTATATTCCAGAGTGAGACACAACATTCCATTGCAATGAAGGACGCAAACCGGTTCGGTTTTGTCCGGTAATGCGAAGGGTAAACCGAGCTTAACCGACTTCTTTTCTTGGACGTCGAGCAAATGCAAACCATCTTTGTCCAATGATACGAATTGAGAACCTTCACTCGACATTGAGAAATTAATATGATTCTTTTCTTTTCTTTTTTTGCCTTTAGCGTATGATATGAAGCGTGAGGGATGAATCTCGTAATTTATAATGAAATAAAGGAGAAATAATCATATTTCATTTAAGGAAAAATAAGCGTGCGTGCGTGCGGGGCTTTTAATTATTTTTGTTCCTTGTGAATATTTTTTTTTTGTAACTTATTATTTTCGTGATTTTCTCTCTTTCTTTTTACTATTTTTGTTATTACCATTTTTCCCTCCTTTTTTTTTAACGATTATAATGAGAGAGAGCATACTCATATACATATGCAAGTAGAATATGTATTTTCTTCTTCTTCTGATTGGGAGTCTAATGACTGCTATTATAAGCCTGGCAATCAATTAATTAATATTGTTATTACTTTCCTAAAACCTAAATCCAATAATATCGTTTGAAAATTAGCAAATAATTCGATGTCGACCATAAAAATGTTACATCCTCGGTTCGAATCCATCTGGTATAAATTTAAAAACGTAATTTCAATCACATGATTTATTCTCGATCCTAGAGTTAATATAGGCTTTGCATCAAAATATCCGGTTAAAAAAAATGGACGCTGGTGCTCCAAATATATTATGAGGAAATTTAGTAATTTGCTTCTAAATAAAGGGATGGTTTTGGCAATATCTCTTTTTAAAATAAAAGGGTCGAGTTTGAAAATAAATAAATAAAAAAAACCTCCCCGGCCTCTTTAGCCCCATATATAAAGTACCAAATCTGTAAAACCCTAGAAAACCCTCCTTCGAGCTCCGGAGCTATTTCGTATACAATACAGAGAGCTTCGTGTTCCCGAAGATGCGGCCACTCGATGAGAACGAGACGACTGTTGTCTTCGAGAAGCTCTTCAAATTTGTTGGAAACAATCTCAAGAACATCGTGGATAACCCATCTCACGAAGGACCTGAAACGGATCCGGGTCGATACTGCTTCCGGCTCCAGAAGACCAAGGTCTTCTACGTCAGCGAATCGCTCGTGAAGCGCGCAACGAATGTCTCTCGGAAAAACCTCGTATCCCTCGGGACTTGCATCGGGAAGTACACCCATGGGGGGAGTTTTCACCTGACGATCCAATCGTTGAATCTCCTCGCTGCGAATGCGAAGCACAAGGTATGGCTCAAACCCACTTCGGAGATGTCGTTTTTGTACGGGAATCATGTGTTGAAAGGCGGGTTGGGGAGGATCACAGAGAGTATTGCTCCTGGAGATGGGGTTGTCGTGTTCTCGATGTCGGATGTTCCTTTAGGGTTTGGGATCGCGGCTAAGAGTACTCAGGACTGTCGGAAACTGGACCCGAATGGCATCGTTGTTCTTCATCAGGCGGATATCGGAGAGTACCTGAGGGATGAAGATGAGCTTTGAAAAGGGCAGAGATTGAAGATTTTCACGAAATTTCTGCGATTATGTAACTTGGGTATTGCTAGATTTCACTTGTTTTGAGTTTTTGGAGGTATGTAACTGTTACAAGTTTTGTGAAACATGGTGCTGCAGCTATGAAAGTTCTGGTTTTTATGAATCTATGCGAGTTGTTGTGGTTGTGTAGATGATTTATGAACGTCCAAGCTTGTTGAAGTTAAATTTTAAAGATCATCAATAGATTTTATTGGTAAAGCTGAAATCTTGAATTCATCTCTCAAATGCCAAAATATAATGTGGAGTTCCTATGATTATGGGATGTGCCCTGTTTCATCTCATGGAAAGCTTCTGGTTTTCTGGTGTTAGCTGTCTGTAACAGGACTGACTTTGTAGAGAGCAAGATATCTGATCTTGAGTATTTGGTGATGAGCAGAATGTTAGCCATCTCTTTAGAGGTTCACTGAAACGAAATCGAGTATATACCAATTTCTTTCGTCATACCCTTGTATGTAGACAAATCCCCGAGTATATGTTATTTGTAAATGACAACATAAAACAGCACAACACAAACACTAATCACATTCACACTCCATCCCATCACTACAAGACCACAAGTAGTACAGTTTCTCTTCCTCTCACTTTTCTTCTGTCTCTGTCTCTGTCTCTCTTGCGAGGCTCTAAGATCTCTGAAGCTGCATTTGCCTTTGCCCATTGAGCATCAAACTCTGGCGAAACGAGTTTCTCTTTCGACTCCTCAGTTGATGCAATCAAACCCGTGACAGACGGCAACCCATATCATAAGAACAAGAAGTAGCAAGATCCCGAGAACTATGAGTTTTATCTTCATGTTTTGGTACCACATTTTCCGCCGGATCTGTGTCCCCTGTTTCCTGTACTCCTGAGCCTTCACAAAACATAAAGCAGAGAGATTTTGCAGGTGAAGATGACGAGAGGTTCGTTTATTAGTCTCGTGTTCTAGGGCCGGGTTTGAGTTACCTGAGAACGTAGACTCTCGGTCTTGTCAGCCAGAACTGTAAGGTTTTCCCCTCTGTCAATCGCCTGGCAACAGATGCATGGATGGCAAACTACCATGAACACATTCATACAGACATACATGAAGATACATACTGCATAGACAAGAATATACACATCTTTGTTTTCTAATCTATGCTTTAATGAGGTGGCAAGAAGTGGCTTAATGAACTTTTTCGGAATCCAACCATTGCCAAAAGCAAAGCAAGAAGAAGAGAGTATGCACATACCAAACAATGAGAGCTAAAGATGAAGATACCTTGTCAATATTCTCCAGCATTACGCTTTATCCTTCTGAAACTTGAGCCTTGACTTTTATCAGTTTCTCAATCTCCTCGGCATGATCAATGAAGATACCTTGTCAATATTCTCCAATATTTCATGTGCTCTTTCATAATCGGCCTGCGAGTTTCGTAACCATTTCACGTGCCCTTTCGGAACAGAACAGAGTTTCGATGAACCCGTTATCGTTGCATTTCATCCAAAAAAAACAACAAATTCTACATACCCAAACTCCTTGTTCAGACTTTTGGCAAAAGCTGTACTTGCTTTCCCGCCCCCGTATCTCTTCTTGAAATCAGCTTTCATTCGTTCCAAGAATGCGATTGAGATTTGCTTGCTCAGTGAATCTTTCGCCACAACACAATATGCTGCAAGAAAAGCAACCGTTATTTCAACAAGAGTTACCATCAGAGAAATCCAGCGACAATTTCACCACGTGGTTTCTACGTTAAACACGGGGAAGAGTACTCTTGAAATATGCAAGGCACACGGCCAGCCAAAGCATTATTCCGATTTCACCAAATTTAACAGAGACTGTACATTTGCAAATAGAGTTAGATGATCAAAGTAGGAAGCAGATTCAGAAACTATCACTTCTCAAAACATCCGAAGTAAGACGGTCTAAAAATGGCAACTTTTCAGATCATTCTACACAGCAGCAGAAATCCATCCACGAGATCCGGCCTTAGACTGATTTTATGTGATCAAGTCGATTTCGATGGACAATGTTTCGTTTCCATCACGGAACCATGGCTAGTCCCTCTATAACGAATGTCAGAAACATCTCGAATTCGCATTCATGGTGAACTAAGACAAGAAATCTTGACAGATCGCAGGAAATCAAACTTTTCAGACATTCCGTTACCAATTGAACCCTCAAAGGATGAGATGAAAGAACAAGACACCTACCAAGCCTATTTACAATTGGTTCTCGTTTTTTTGCAACTTAATTTAGAAATGTATAATCTTTCCTGGTACATTCATTTGTTTGGTTGAAACATAAACTAAAAAATCGATACTTTTTTCTCTAGATTCTACAAGAAAATTTTATGGAAATCAAAATCAAATCAGCAAAAGACATGAAGTTGTTTCCTTCAAGTTTTACTTCACTTTCTCGGAAACCAAACAGACCCAGAAACAGAACACCGTTGCATAACCTAGTAAACAAATCTAAGTTCACTACATAGCACAATCTGAGCTCCAAACTGATGGAATCGAATGATCCCGAAACTTTAATAAACCCCGGATCCGAAACTATGTGATTGCATATCGGGATTGAAATAAACTAGATCAAAGATTCATAAACCGAACCTGGAGTCATGATCGGAAGCGTAAACGGTTACGAGCTTCTGATTCTTCGTGTACCTTAACCTCTTAATTCTTTGATGGGATAAGAATCAAGAACATGTAGAGAATTCTTAAGATTGGTTTGTCAAAACCATATTATATAGAGAATGAAGATTTGTGCATTATTTATAGCCATAAGAGAACAAAGAATGCATGAACATGCATTGACCAAGAACCGAAGGGTCATTCTTCTTCTCCATTAATCAATCAATTAAATGGTTATTTAATTGATCAAGACTAATGCACATTCAAAGAATCTTCCATCTACATGAACCAAAACCAAACCAAACTCTACAGTAATCGGTACACATGAACCAGAGATCATAACCAAAATCCTTATTCGGTATTATCCAATTTAGCCCATCATAAAATTAGACAATAACCGACCGGTATCTACGCATATATTAAACCCTATACTCGATTCAATACTGAAGTCCAATAGGTTAAAATGAAAACCCGATCACATTTCATTAGACTTAACCGACATGACAAACTTATTCCATAATAATCATATCCGATCCACAATAAAAGTATAAAAAACCTTACACAAACATGCATTCCCTGAGCTAGATCCAACGAAAATCTTTTTTTTTTTGGTATGAGATCCAACGAAAATCTTACTCGCTTCAATAAACAAGAACTTTCCAAACCTTGTTTGTTTCCCGGGAAATTACAGATATAAAACGGAAAACCAGAGAGAAAACGTAGGAGGGGGAGAAAGAAAACCTAACTGTAGCCATCTTCAACGAGGAAGTTGAAAGTATGGAGATCACAGTTGTAAGTGAACTTGCTGTTGATGGAGGAAGGAAGCTTCTGGAGACACTGAGCAGCTATCGCCGGAAAATTCCCGGTGAAATCGGTGTACTCCGCCAGAATCATTGCGCCTCTTGCGACGAAGCTGTAGATGAACGTTTCCTGACTCATCGAGTCGCCACCGAGTTCACCCACGCAGACAGAGAGACTGGAAGAGAGAGATATTGCTTTTGTAAGGGTCTGTTTAATCTTTTTCTTTTTTTTTCTTGTACCAAATTTAAGGAATTTTGTCTTATGACAACATTTTATAAATTGTTCCCTATGGATGTTTCAATATTTTAAAAAATTGTGGAAAAAGAATATGAAAAAATTCTTAAAAAATACTAAAATTTTAATTTTGTAAGATAAACATTAAATTTTTTAAATTTACAAAAAAATAGATTATTAAAATAAATAAATGCACTTATATAATATAACGAGATACAAATACGTTAAATTATTATATTTAGTTTTTTTGACAAGTATATATAGTTCATATTTTTTTTTGAATAATTGAAAAAGTTGATTAATTTTTTTGACAAATCACATAAAAATTTATGTATTTTGTTGGGTCATTTAAAATTTTTGATAAAAAAATACTAAAATATTAATTTTATAAGATAAACATTAAATTTTTTTAATTTGTAAAAAAAAGTAGATTATCAAAATAAATAAATTCACTGATATAATATAACGAGATACAAATACGTCAAATTATTGTATTTAGTTTTTCTGACAATTATATGTGGTTCATATTTTTTTGAATCATTTAAAAAGTGGAGTATTTTTTTTTTTGACAAATCACATAAACTTAAAAGTTTGTCTATTTTATTGGATCATTTAAAATATTTAGTGTTTTTTTAAAATTTAGTTAAAAAGTTTGATATTTATTTGATAAAAATAAAAGTTTAGTGTTTTTTCCGTTAAAATTGTAATAGTTTAATATTTTTTTTTAATTTATTAAAAGAATAATTTATTGAATTTCGGAGTAACGGTTTTTTTGTGAAATATGAAGAGGATGATTTCAAGAATTATTATTCGCAAATTTGCAATCAAATTCTAAAAACTAATTTTAAGTTGAGAAATTGATTTTAGTAGAATAATAACGGTGACCAATTTATAAATAGTTTTGAAAATTAAATAAACACACGCAGTTAACATTATTGTTTTATTGAATATAAAAATGTGTTTTTGTGTGTGTTCAGTTAATACTTTAAAAGAGTATTTTTGAAATTTGAGTCGAGATCACACCACGAACATCTTTTGTCTTTATTACCGATCGCTTGTAGATCCCCCCCACTCGGAAAAGCCAGTCTTTTTCCTGTCACTGTTCGCAAGTTCTTATCTTTTCGGTTCAATTAAGTTTCCCGATTCGAAATCTCGTTGCCACTTCTGGGTTTTCATCAATGGCGGACCAAATCACCGATTCATCATCCCCAGCTGCTCCCGCCTCTTCCGCTTCGCCTCTTGCCCTGGTATTCCCTCTGCCCTCCTCTTCGTTTGGCTCAGTTTTGTTCGTGGAATTTCATGGACGTTTGATTTTGATTTCTGGGCTTTAGATTCTATGTAATGAGCATTTGATTCGATTTGGAATTTGTGGCTGTTATATTATCTGGGTTTCGCTTTTGTGGATGCAAAGTCTTGGTTTTTCGGATTAGCTTTAAGATTTGTTGATCTGCCTGCAACTTCAGAGGCATTTCTAATATCAAGCAGAGTTCCTACAATCCTACTTTGGAGTGGCTGATGGAGTTTATGTTGTCTGCTTCTTTCAGTTCCGTGTTTGTGTTTTGGGGTTTTCCATTTTGTGGATTCGAGTCTTTTGTGGATTTGTCTAACTTCAAACAGATTCTGATTATGTTGGTATTGAATAGATTTGGCACAAACTGGATTGTGTATGCAATGTTTCTCAGACATGGGTGTTAAAGGGAATGCCTTTTGATATTTCATGTTTTCAAGTGGAGTCACATGTACATGTTTTCTTTGATGTTCAATTCTAAGTAGGAATCTACTGTCATGTGATCTTTTACCTATTCACCAGCTTGAGCTTTGTTGATTTCAGCCTCGAGTTTAGGGTTTACGGCCTCGGGTTTAGGGATTTCAGCCTCGGGTTTGATGTTCAATTCTGAGCATGAATCTACTGTCGTGTGATGTATACATGTTTTTTTGGATGGTTTGGGGAGAAACTGATGTTGATCTTTTGCTTCTTTCCTTCTGCTGCAGAAGAAAGATAACATTACTCTTGCTAATTCGAAGATCGCAGTATGTGGCTTTTTCCGCATATTCTTCTCAATGCCGTTTCATATTTTTTCCCAAATTGTAAAGCTTTGAGGCTAATATCTGTGTTGGTCCATTGTCAGATCTTCTTATGCCGTATAACTTTCTGAAATCTCGGCTTCTCTATCCACAGGAATTGAGTGAATCAAGGGCCGAGTTGCTTAACAGGATCCAGAATCTGAAACAGGTTTTTCTTCACAAGACATTACCACTTTGTCACTGTTTCATGTTCATACTTATATTGTCCTATCCCCAAAAATGAAGTTACACACACACACACACACACATATATATATATATACATATATATATGGTTTCAGGACTTGCAAAGTTGGAGAAGTAAGTTGGACACCCAAGTTAAAGTTTACCGTGAGGTGAGTTTAAATTCATACTCTTTTTACATTTTACAGAGACTGAACTCAGAACTGTGTTTTGCTTTGGCTATATAAACACATTCATTGGCACTCTTTGCAGGAGCTGACAGATCTGAAGAAGACTCTGAATCTCGAGGTTGAACAGCTTCGCCAGGTATATGTTAAGCCCATCCATCTCCTGATCTTCTATAGTAACAGTTTCAGATGGTTTATATTCATTTGTTTTTTTTTTCCATTTGCAAAAAAAATAAAGGAATTCAAAGAACTGAAGAGCAATCTGAATCAGCAGCAAGAGGATGTCACTGCCAGTCTAAAAGATTTAGGCGTACGTCAAATTCTTTTCCTTCTTGATTCTTCTTTGTCAGCAACTGAGATTCAGGACATGTTTCACATCAGACACCAACCTATGAACTTCCATTAATCTCTGTAGCTACAAGATGACTATGGAGATGGTAAGGAGCCAGAAGACGATGCAACGGAAGAAGATCAATCTCAAAACAACAATGTGAAAGAAGCAGAGCACTAGATGATGATGATGATCTCTTGGTATCTTAGAAGTAGTAGATCTGCCACTACTTGAAACTGTTGCCGAACCTCTCCGTATTATAAAAGCATTACATATGCATATGCTCATATCTACGTGAAGGGAGAGAATGAGGAAGAAGATGGGAGGGGAGAAATCTGTAGTGAGGGTTCTGAACATTATTATATGTATGAACACCAAAGAGGAAAAAGAAAACCGAGTCTCGTCACTCATCAATTGTTTTCCATTGCACAAATCAATTGTCCCAAAAAAAAAAAAGTTCCAAGCCTCTTCTTTCTCACGTCTGAGAGGTTGACAACTATGAATTCTAACCAAAACTTAAAAACCCAAACTTTGTCTGACATATACATATATATATATATAGAGAGAGAGAGAGATAGCAGTACATGCCATCAGACTGTTGAATACAGGGGGGGGGGATATATATACAGTTGCAGTTGCAGATGCAGTTGCAGACTTATGGATAATGGAAAAGGGAGGGAGTGATGGTCAAATGAAGGTGGAGGCTTTGGAGGTGCGTTGGTTGGAGCCTAGGATGATGACCATCACCGTTACATCATCATGGTACCTCCTCCTCCTTCCTGCAGGAACATTCATCAGTTCTTCCATGGTGAAACCTGCAATCATTCGCATCCACATGCCATGGTCAGAGATATACATCCACATCCAGCCATCCATGGAAACACTTGAATAATGTTTCCTTATTAGGGTTGGACCCATTAAAAGAAAAGGGTACTGACCGGCACGAGTAGCTGCTCTGGCTACAAGGTGTTCGAGAAGATACTTGGCAGGATCACCAGCCGAGTTGCTGGAGATGAAGGAGTGGACGAGCCTCACTGCTTCTTCGTTGCTGAAGAAATCAAACAATCCATCACTTGCTACTATCACAAAGTGATCGGATTTCGAGATTCTATGAACTCTCGTCGACGGTTCCACCGATACATAAGGCGGGCTCACAAGGTTTCGAACCCGTAAGATTCCCATCAATGCATCGTTCAATTTCTCCTGCACGAAGATCAGTATTAACCCTCGAGACCCATCTTCGAAAATTCTCGTATATAATAAAGTTCATACCTTTTTCAAGTATCCAACTCCAAGAGCACGAGTTACTTTCAGTTTCCCTTTCACTTTACCCGAAAAGATTGTCTTGGGATCGTCTGGGTGTTCGCATAAAACCCGAGCCTTCTCAGTTTCATTGTCGACGGAATGATCTTCGGTCAGCTGAACAGCTTTCAGCCTTTCGTTCCCTTCGTTTCCACGGTATGTAGCAAGAACAGCTCTGCTATCACCCAGATTAAGAATATATAGATCCTCTCCGACAAGGAGAGCAATCAAAACGCAAGAACCTACGGAAACCAAGTCGGGTCTATCCTCCATTTCTTGTTCAACCATCCGCAGAAAGTCGTTCTCGGCCTGAACGAGGGCACGGCTAAGGCAATCGAGTACTCCTTGTCTGAAAAAATCCGAGGAAGAATCGATTTTGTTCGACAACTGAGCATCATTATTCGATAACAACCCATGGAGCCTCGAGGAAACAGCGTTGTTCTTTGTGTGTGAGTATGGTTTTTCGTCATTATCCTGCATCGTCCTTGTGAGCTTCTGCTTCAACTGGCGATCGAGTAACTGGACATAGAAAGCAATCGACTCGTACAATGTACATGCCAAGAAATCGGCAGCGTCTCTTCCGTTGAATCCATCGTAAATCGCGCAGAAGAGCCAGCCATTCTCTTCAGAGCACACGGCCTGGACCCTGTCTTCACCTGCAGCACCTCCGGCCACTTGCACTTCCGTGGCACTAAGAAATCCTTCGTTTCTAGAAGGAGCGCTCATCGATTTCAAGAAGTAAGACTCAGAGTCTGGAGGACTAGGGCTAGTTGAGGCACTGCAGCTGAAGCTCGACATGCCGCGTCCGCTGCCATGGAGAGAAGGCGAGATCATGTCCAGCTTGGAAAGGGAGGGAGAGGACGGGACTTTCCGGAAGGATTTGGGCGAATCCAAAGAGGGTAGGATCGCTGTCCCAATGATGCCATTGCCGATGTTTGTGTTGGCCAAAGTGGCGTTTGCGCTCAATGCAGCTCCGGATAAACAGGAGAAACTGCTCGTCCTTTGGAGCCTAAACCCAGGAAGAATCTCGTTGCCATCACTGACGGTCTGACCGATACCTGTCTGGCCATTATTACACTGATAGCCAAAGCTTATCTCCATTTCTCCATACGGATCGCTGATAGTTTCTTCCTGCATTATGTTATATATGTCTGATTCCTGAAAGAACAATAACAGATACTCTTCAGATTCCGCGAAGAAGAACTTCAACGGCGATACCAAGAGTACAAGTAAATGACTAGCGAAATCGAACTAACACCTACTAGATAACAATTTACCAGTCCGTTCATTCATCGATTATCAGACTTTCTAAGGAAACTCAAAGGGAAGAAAATACTGAAAACCCACTTCTAAACTTTACCAACAAGGAACCAGAAAGAAAAAGGAGAGAACTTTTGAGACAACAGAGGAGGGAAAAGGAAGATGGCAGCAAGGACCAATGTTAACCAACTTCCTCGGAGATTTTCATCAGTGACCAGAGAAAAATCTGCGTAAACCTTTTGGGCTATACAGAGATTTTCACCACTGACCAGAGGAAAAAGGCGAGAGCTTTAAAGACCCTAATGCTCGAAATAAGGAACATTTTCCACAAGCAAATCTCCATGTGGAGATAGTGAAAATTTTGCAAGTTTCCTAAAAACCTGGGGGTTTTCCATCATCATCATCATCATCATCATCATCATCATGTAATGTTTTTATAAGTTGACACCACTATCACCAACATACATTTAAACGCAAGCTACGCACTAGTAGTTGGGACTTGGGAAAAAGTCGATGAAAATAGGGATGAACCCAAAATCCATCTTAATCCTACAAAAGAGATATTTGTATACACAGACAAGCGTGGACACATGCATATATACACATACCCATCGAGAGATATTAGTGCGCGATAAAGACGGGAGATTTCGAATATTAATGAAACGAGATAACAACACAATCTAAAAGATCCATAAAAAAATCCCTTTTGATAGGACCGATCACAGCTGACAAAGGAAACAAAACCCTAATTATAGAATCATAGAAAAAGGGGCAGAGGCATTGAATCAGTAACATCCGAGATATACCCAACTGCAGAAAACGAATCTAACTTCGGGTGGAAGAAAACCCAGATGGCCAAAAGCTTCGTAAACGATCGCAGAACCCGCAAAGTCGACGAATTTCAAGGGAAAACAGACGAAAACGACGAGCAGAGAGACCGAGAAGAAGAAGAACAGAGAGAATAAAAGGAGTGAAAGAAGTGAAAACAGCGCAAAAGGGGGTGGGGGAGAGAGAGAAATGGGTGGATGGATGGATGGAGGAGAAGAGTTTAACGACTGAACGTCTCTTTGCCGAATTTGGGAGTGAAAATCGAAGTTCCTTTAAAAGGGTTGACTCGTTCCTTTTCTCCCCATCCGCTCCTCTCTTTTTTTGTGTTTCCTTTCTTCTTCCAAATTTGATTCCCAAATTTTCATCTATCTTTTTCTTTCAAATTTACACAATGAACCTGTTTTATAAATATAAGATATTTACCAAATCCATATACATACACACACACATATATCACAAATTCATTTTTACAATACATTATATAGAAACACTTCATGACTATTATCCACCTCATGATTTTTTTCCCTATGAAGACAAGATAATACAAGAAAAATAAATAAATAATAGTGTAAATGAAACTAGAAATATAATATAATATTTTTTTTTGTAAAAAAGTTAAATCTATAGATTTGCGTGAATGAAAAATCTCGGTAATGAAATCATAGAGTCAACATCAAAGGACAATAAGGTGGTTGACATTTTCTAAAATGATTATGTCATCATAAGAGTCTATTAATTATAAAATTTATTAAGCCATTTGTTTATTCATTTTTTTTTCTCCTCAAAATTCAATACCCAAAAACCATACCGCCCAAAGTATTGATACATATTTAATAAAATAAAATGCAGTTTCCGTGAACGTAGTTAAAACTATATTATGTGATACTTTGAAATATAAAAGGAGAGAAAAGAAACAAGTATGGCAATGGAAATTCTGAAATCGAGTTGGATTTTGATTTGATTTATTGCCATTTTTTTTTTAAATTTAAAAAATTATATCATTTGTTATTAATATTACTGTGGTTCCATTCCATTTAATAAGAGTTTGGTCGAATTATTTTTATTTAAAATATTTATTTCTTAAAGATATTATTTATTTTTTATAACAGTTATAGATTTAGATTATGTTAGTTTTATTTTAAAATATTATATCTAATTTTATCTTGACTTTGATTATACACGGTATGCTATTTTTAATATCAAAATTGAAAAATTCATATAAAAATAAGATAGAAAAAAAATTGCATATAAAAAATTAGAAATAAACTGAAATGATTTATTAAAAGGAAATATTTTGTGCAACGTCCAGAAAATGGCATTCACAGCCGTGTGTCCACATATACTGAAATCGACGTGCATATACTTTATTATATAACCAACCAAATTTATATGATTTGTTAGTGAGAGTTGAATTTTATTCATAATGAATTTTTTTAACGGTATCGGTGTTATAATCTCGTTTACTTATCAATAAAATTATAGAATGTCTATACCTTGGGTCGCATGACATAAGGAGAGGGAGCAAGACCTACATCTTAGAAGAATAAAATATTCAAATAAGATATTGTTTTTACATATATAAAAAATAAAATATTTTTTATCTCGATAAAACCAAAATATTTTTTTGTTTTATAATAATATTTTTATTTAGAGAATCCAAGTGATATAATTTAGATTTTGTCATATTATACATATATATCTGCCGACATCCACCCTACTATTCGAAATTTAGAGATATCCCAAAAATACAAAAGAAAAATAATGGAAACATGTTACATGCTAAACCGGTTTGGGTTGTCAACATTTGCAAATTATTACCAAAGGTGTTATATCATAGTTTTATACAAAGACCAAACTAAACCGATGCCAAATATATCGGTAATTCTGCAACTTTGGTCACTCACATTAGGATTCCGGTATGATCAAAAGGCCAAACCGAAATTTCCGGTATGATCGACTTACCGCCATAAAATATACAATACACTATTAAGCGTCAAGTCCATATACAAACATATATCATATAATAAGACTTTTTTTTTATACTAAATGGTAAATCAGGATAGGGAGTACAAATACTTGTATATGGTGCGTATACAGTGTATATATATGTGTATATATAAGAAATAGTATCCGACACTTTGAGCCATGAAAATGACATAAGATTACGGTCCATGTAGCCATTTGTGCCATTTTATGTTCCATGTATCTTATTATACAATCCGACACTATTCTTGTTAGTTGGTTAAGACGGGGACACTATTATTACATATAAATCTGCATCACATGGGAGTGACATGCATGTAGTTTTCAACTTCAAAGATCAATCTCCCTTGGAAATAAAAATTCAAAAAAAAAAGATATTTACAATAAAATAACCTCCCATTATAGACCATTATAAGTTTATGGGCTAAAAGACAAATTTCTACGGCCCATTTGACAAGTATTCTATTTGCATTTTATAGGAACAATTCGAGCCTGACTTCTTGATCCATGTCACAAGATTTATACGGCCCATTGGATAAGCGCAAAGGACAAAATCAATCATTGAGCATATTGTCACGTGTAATGGCGTGAGATTGCGGCTATTAAGGCCTCAATTTTGTTCATAAATAAGGTCTTGCTTTTTTTTTTTAGTATTATTATCAATTTAAGATATGGTGGGTCCAAATTGTCACGGAATCATTATTTTCATTTCAATTTGGGACTTTTTTTTTGGTTTTTAGCTTATATTATTACATGCGCATGATATCATATCAATAACGAAGAGTCTTGTACACACAAAATGAAATGTATATACCATCCATTAGTGGTGGTATAATTCAATTACACGTTTTGACGATTGCCGTCTATGCAATGCAAAGTAGGGGTGGGCGTTTTGGAAAACGGTTCGGGTTCGGGACGGAATTAATCGGTTTGGTTCTTTCGGTTTTACAAAAATAGATACCAATCGGGTTTTTTATTGTATTCGGTTCGGTTCGGTATCGGTTCGGTTCGGTTCCGGATTTTATTAAAAAAATGATAGATTTCTTTTAAAAATATTCGGTTTTTCGGGATTTTTAAAATTCGGTTCGGTTCGGTTCGGTTCGGTTCTGGAAAAATTCGGTTCTCTAAAAATGGTACCGTTCAAAAAATAACAACAGTTTCGGGTCGAAAAAAATACCATTTTAATGATTCGGTTCGGTCCGGTTCCGAAGAACCGAACCGAAACGCCCACCCCTAATGCAAAGTGCGTGCGTGTGTAAACATATGATTATTTATGCGCCTTAATCACGTTAAAGTCAAGTGGTATTTCCCGTAAATAATTCAAACTCTAGTGGCATTCCAATATATTCCTCCTTTTAAATCTGTTTGATTCTCTCTCTTCCTGCAAATTTCTTACTAACACACAGAGAGTGAGAGAGAATGGGAAGTCTGTCCAGAAGGTCATTGGCGGCGATCTTAACCGTCATCGCGATTCTCTTCATCTCCGCTGCTGAGTCGACGCCTTCGGTCGGAGGATTCACCGGCGATTTCTTTCCGGTCGGGGCGGAGTGCCGCGGCTCTATCGCCGAGTGTTCGATATCGGCCGGTGACGACGGTGATCTCTTATACGGCGGCGGAATTTCAGCGGAGGGGGAAGAGTTCGAGATGGAGTCGGAGACGAGCAGGCGCATTTTAGCGACGAGGAGGTACATAAGCTACGGTGCGCTGAGGAGAGGCAGTGTGCCATGCTCGCGACGAGGAGCATCGTACTACAACTGCAGACGTGGCGCACATGCCAACCCGTATTCCCGCGGATGCAGCGTCATCACTCGCTGCCGACGCTGATTTGTAATATTTCTACTATATCCAATTCTTTTTGTTTTTTTTTATTCTCTTCAAAACTTTTTTTTGGCGTAATTTACTGAGTTTATATTATTATTATTATGTTAATTTCCAACATATACTATATGGAATATGTATACGTACAATTTTCTGGAGGATTGGACACCTCGTGTGTTGTTGTTGCTTACATACATAAACAAGAAAAAGAAATATGGAATAAAGATGGTACACATTTTTAGTAGTGGCAGTGTTATTAGTATTATATTTCTAGTGATTCTTGAAGTCGTAATTGAATTGTAATGTGGGATTATGGAAAGTGTTCATCAATAATGCCAATGGTGCATGCAATACTAATACTAATAATAATAATAATAAAAATAATAAAAATAGGATTTGGTTGTTGGGCCAACTAAAGGCAGCTTCACATTCACATGATAGCACCTTTCGGCAGGGAACCACACGTGGAGGATTAGCTTTCTCTAGATTTCCCCACTCTCTCTCCTCCTCTCATTTAATGAACTGTGTCCATAATTTGGTTTTTCAATGCATAAATGTGAATTCACACATATAATTAGCTGTATAACTCGCATCATATTTCTCTAAGCCTCTTTGGGGGTTGAAAAGTAAATGTTTACATAAAAAAAAAGACCTATCCATTTCCATAATCATAGGAGATAATTTAGGATCCCCTTCCAAATATTGTGGCACTTTTTTTTTATAATTATTTATGCAACATCTAACAACGGCCCATGCTGAGCTTGCCCTCAAATTGTCTTTTTCGCATTTAGATTCAATTTAAAAAAAAACCATATTAAAAGAAAAAGCCCAACTTGAAGTCTGGACCACAGCACCATCCCAGTATGGTGGTGAGCCCACGACGCTACCCCAAACACATTCCACTCTTCTTATTTATACATAATACAGACACCCAATACTTACAATCCCAATGACAATAGCTTTATTTCTTTTTTTTATAAATTAAATTTTCATATCATAGTTTCCAGTTGAATAGCGTTCAAAATTATGTTAGAGTTCTTCAATGGTTTCCCATTTTGGTGGGGTCACAAACGAACCAATGATCAAATAAAGCATTTCATCCCGTTTGATGAACAACAAACAACAAGAAGTCATTTGGTCCTAAAAAGGGGGAAAAAAACCCAAACAAACACAGCTCTTTGAATGTTTACTAAATAGGGAAAGTAAGATCCATGACCTGTCATCTTAAGTAGAACCAGCAGGAGTCTTGGGTTCATCGCTTGATTTGGATGCAGCAGGAGGAGGAGTGCCTTCCACGCCCATCTCGGCTCTCAGGTCGTTGATGCTTTGCTCGAGCTCATCGATCCTACTCCCCATCTCATCGAGTGAAACTTCAAGTCAAGGATTTCATCATTAATAATAAAGGTTCAGCCATATCAGACACATTGCTATGGATGCAAATTACGGCACCAAAACCTAATTAATTGTAGTTCATACCCACAAACTAACCGATCCATCCTATCCTCCCAAGCATATTTCCATACCATGTAGTGGCATTTACTCTGGTGTTGCATCATTATCATGTAGTTAATTTCCCGGAGAAAAGGGTTACTTTTCTTCATGACAACATGAAATGAAGACCAGGGTTCAGGCTATAACTCTCAGAGAATTCAATACATCCTAAAAGAAACAGTATTTGAGTTATGCCCATATATATTCATAGAAGGATATTCTTCGTAACAATGGAGTCCGACATTGTCTGGAACCTGGATTGCTGAAACACGCATCAAACCGAATTAGTCACATATATGCTTGCCTGGCCCTGCCGAGGCTGTAATTCCAGAACCTAATAAGACAGAAAGGTTATCCAACCCACCATCTGCAGCAGAAGATTCTGGACCTGCACATGAGAATTTAAACATTCAACCAACAAAACTGAGTCACATTGATTTTTCCAAAACCAGAAGCAGTCTGAATCTACACCCAAACAAAGTGATCGAGATCAACTAGGGAGTATTTTGTTGATAGATACTCACAAAAGCTGTCATATCTGCAGTGCTCTGCTTAGGATCCTCTGAATCGTGTCCATCCTATCACAGGAAGAAACAGCGGTAAGGAAGGAACAAAAGGTACAGAAAAGGTTGCATCCAACATAATCCATCGCACTATCCCATACTCTGGGATGCCAAGGTTTATCATAAGGCAATCCATCTAACATGAAAAAAACAAAACAAAAAGTAAGGCAAAAAATTCGATTTCTCTAAGCACCAAAAGTGACGGCCACATATAGCTTACTGGAGTATCTCAGTCCCCATATATGCCATGAACCATATGCATGGATGTTTCAACGAGAAGGTTCGATCAGGCATGTTTAACCAAAAATATTTGGAAAAAGGTAAAAGCTTTCTTCTGGAACCTCAATCAGATCCGGATATTGATACTGGATTTCTCTCGAAGACTGAAAATCTCAAATTGATGATCATATGTTTAAACAACTCCAACAACAGGATTGTACACCGAGGGTAAAACTAAAGGATGGACACCAAATCCCATCCAGATATCACTCAAGCTCTAAGATTGGAATGAAATTTGGATCGGAAAAATCATGTGCTGAAAGATCAAAGCCAAACTCAAACTTTCAAAATATATCTATGTAGCAACACACAGATCCTAATCTAATTCAGAGATGCAAAAAATGCTACTGAATTCTAGATATTCAATCAGAAAAAACAAGACCTAACACTAGATTCAATCGAAACGCCGCAGATTTCACCAATGGTTTGGGATTCGAACCCCTAGAAATGGAACCAAACACAAAACATGAATAGATCGGAACGAAGAAGAAAAGACAGCAATTTCAGCGAGAATAAGCAATTGATAAAGGTTTAAGGAGCAGAGATATACCATTTTTAGGGTTTTCTCGTCTGATCGAAAAACGAAGAATTTGAATTCGGCTGAGCAAAGAGGAAACAACGGAGAAGAGAAGATAAAAGTGTTACCGGCAATAGTAAAATCCCAACCCCAGAAAAAGAAGAAACTTTTGAAAAGGCCCCTATACTATAAGTTATTTTCGAAGACAACCCCGAAACACTTATATTCTTCATTTGCACCTCATGTTATCAATTTAACCAAAATTTCCCCAATAAAATTGAACTGATGCTGAATCAACCATGAAAAACACGACAGATATGACATGCATATTATATGCTAATATTGTTTTACTAATTGGATTACTCTTTAAACTAACAAGCAACCTTCCTTACAAAATATACGTGTAGATAATTCCAATACAAGATTACAAGAAAATAAAATTTCAAATGACACAAACATACGTAAACTACAGAAAACAAAAGCAAACAGATCACTTAACAATCCGAACACTTCTGTCTGCTTATTTTCTAGTATAAACACAATTGAACAAAGACATCAACAGAGGAACAACACCCAGAACTGCCATTGAGCCTCTCATCTTCACCAGAATCCTTCCTTCGCATTCTTCATCGGTTTCGACACTGAACAACGTTCTAGAACCTCTGCCACTGCTGGCGAAAAACCCTGCTTTCAGATCAGATAAGCCAATGACGCCAAACCCATCAGAACCTGGTTTTACTTGGAACCCAAGTCTTCTTCTTCGTGATCCGACACGATTATGAGCTGCTCTGACTTCAAAACCCTTGTTGATTTCTCCATTTTCGGCTCTTTTCTCCTCGTCGTCTGGTTGTTTGTCCACGAGGAATGTTTGTAGATCATGAGAAGCTTTACTCTGCTCATTCCATTCGGTTTCCACCTGAGAATCCAGGAAATGCCCTATCTCCCTTTCCAAATCATCGTGTAAACAAGAAACTTGCCTTGGATCAGCTCCAGAAAGCAACATATTCCACAAGGAGCAGAAAAGAGTGAAAGACTGAAGTGGGGAAGGAAAAAGATCCGATTTTTCCATCAGGGTTCCGTTCTTTTGAAAGCAACTTGCGTCTGCCATGATCTTAGCTGAGCAACATAAGAGCAGTAACTGCGATCTCCAGATCTGGGACGTGAATTCGCCGGTTCTGGTCTCTGGGAAAACTTCCTTGTTGTCAGCCAAAACAACTTTCGGCATCATGCTAGCATCGGTATAGCCCAGTTCTGGAACTGCTTGTCTGATTGACTGACACAGGAGAAAACTTCTATGAGAAACGAAATCTTTGTAACTCGAAGAATCGGAAACAGTGGAAGCTGCATGGGTAAGAACAACAATGGCATTTTGCCATATCGATGGTCCCAAACAACTGGTAATAGTTCTAAGCAGTTGGATGTCGCCAGTGTTTCCTGAATGCTCATCTAGACGGTCGATGTAAAGGACAATATCGACAGGGAATGTTCTCATATGCTTTTTTACAGACAGCAGTATCTCCCGGTTAACCCGTTCTTCGGTTGCAGATAAACTTAGGCCAGGAGTATCAAGAAATCTGACCTGGACACCTCCGACTTTACCAACTATGTATTTTGCAGACTTTGTGGTAAGTCCAAATGCACCAACCGGAGATTTAGCCTCACCAAGAACAGAATTAATCGTAGCACTTTTACCGACCCCTGTTTTCCCGAGAACGAGGACATTAATGGATAAATCCATATCATCGGGACCCTCTTCTTCAAGTTGCATAGTCTTCATTACATCAAACTCGGAATAAAACCCTTGAGAAGTTCGGTATTCTCCAGAAGCTAAAGTCCGTTTACACAAAACTTCAGTAACAACTGTATCATCAGATGAAAGACCTAATCTTCTAATAATTCTCAGGAGATTTGTTTTCAAAATCTCCATATTCTCTATCCTTTCCTTTTCTTCCTTCCTTATCTGCCAGGTAAAATGCTCCGGGTATGATTCTTCAGAGCCGCTTAGCAGAGTAGAAGAAAGCAATGGTTCCTCTCTTCTATCATTAGTTTCCGCAAACTCATCAAACTCCTCCAGACCTTGAACACGAATCAGTTGTTCTATTTGTGTTTCGTTCTCCATTTCTTCATCAGTGATTACAGAACAATTTCCAGAAAGAGTAAACTCAGCATCTTTATCGAAATCCAAAGAACTCTCCTCTACCTTCACCGAGATTTGGTTCACTTCACTATCAGACTCCAATGCCACCCGAGTATCGATCTCCGCTGAGCTATGTTCGCCATTGTCTGCAGCCTCATTGGCTATTTCTATGGAAGTTCCAGAGTTTGATCCACTGACACTTTCGTTGAAAGGCAACAACTTTCTCTCAGCCTCATCCGAATCTTGTTTCCCTTCCTTTTCAGATTCCGATTCAAATTTTGGGTCTGTAGAGTCTGAATCAATTGAAAAGACACTTGCTCCTCCAGTGACCTCATGGTTTGCCATATTTACAGAACATTGAGTAGCTTCACACTCAGATTCAGCTTCACATTCTGGTCTTTCTATTCCACTAACAACACCATGATCATTTTCCTGCCAATCTTTCGCCTGCCCAACCATATTTACAGCATCTTCACTTCCCAGTTCTCCACTCCCTAGTCCAGCAGACCCGTCAACTGAAATCATCAAAGTATCTGCTTCACTACTACCACCGTCAGTTATCTGACCATTATCCTTGATGATACTTCCCTGAATGGCTACTTGTTCATCGGGCATATTGAAAGTTTCATCTTTTCCATTACCTGCCTCAACAAAGTTTTCTTTGCTTTCTACTGGCAACTCATCACTTTCTTCTGGTGCAACTTCACCACTTTTCTCTTCGATATTCCCAAAGGATACCGAACCATTATCGGAATAGCTTGGCCCCATCATTTCTTCCTCCACGGAACTGAATTCACCTGTTGTGGAATCTGAGCAGTTCGGCTCATTGATAACTCTCATTTCTCCTAATGTCAGTGGCCAGTCTTCTACTTTTTCTCCTGGATAGCTTGGAACCTTTGCCAGAGGTAATCCATGATCTTCATCTTCACTACTCAATATTTCATCAACATCGTCATCATCCAAAGACAACCTGGCACGAGGAATGACTATTCTTGCACTCAAGCTCACTCCTTTAGCAGCTTCACAACCAATTTCGCTCTCACGAACTCCGTCAACCTCATTATCGCTCTCACTATCTTCCCCGCCAAAAGAAGAGTAAGTTACAGAAATTTCCTTGTCCCGTTCTCCTACAACTGGCGTGTAAACCCTACTTCTACCTGAAAAATCACTACTTTCTCCAGTTTCCACATCTGGGACTTCCTTAATCGGCCTATGAACCCTAATCCCGCCAAAATCGGCGTCTTCCGCCGTTTCGTCGTCTGGGTCAGATGAACCAGACTCAGATTCTTCGTATGTCCCAGAATCCATCCCCCTACTGTAACTACTAGCTTCACTACTTGATGAATTTTGAACGTCGGTTTCAGAACCGGAACCGTCGTCTTCGTCAGTCGCACCATCGTCATCAATGGTGACAGGCGCACGAATAGGGACGGCACCTGCGGAAGACAAACGAGAGAGAGTGCGCCCGTAAACGTATGGTCCGGACGCGGAAATGGAAGCACGAGGCCTCTCAGACTCCATTACTCCCTTTAAACCAGCCATTAGAAGCGGAGACAAAACACCGAAACGAAAACAAGAAAAAAAAAAACAGATTCGACAAGGGAGAAAGACAACGGAGGAGATTGTGTTCCCGGTATTTTCTATTTGTCTGATAAGAATTCAGGGTTTTTGTCGGGATTTGGAAAAGCTTGTGGCTGTTGAACGCGATGGTGTGGAAGACGAGAGAGCCACAGAGTGTACAGACGAACAACGACTGCCTGAGACAAAACAAATACTGTAATACCCGAAGAGATTTGGTGGCAAAAGGTCAAATTGATTAATTGCTATAATTGTGACTAACAAAAGTTTGGGGTGCAAATATCAAACGTTTTAAAATAATAGGGAAAAAATGTATTAATGTGAACATTGGGGGTTTGTTCGTTATTAACAGTTTTAGGGCGCTTATACTATGGAGGACCATCATTGACGACCCACGGGATGCATGGCGGTTTTCCGTTGCGCCATGCTTTTGTCTCCGCCGCCGCTACTTCCACCACATTTTTCCCGCGGAAGAGTCTCTTCAAGAGCTGTTAGATGTTCTTCAGTTTCGCCTCTGTTCCCGTCGAAGTCATCGAAGAGGAAGAATTATCTGCGACCCAAAATCCTTAGAACCCTAAATCCTAAGCCCTCCGAGACAACCTCAATCGAAATCGAAGTACCAGAAAGCGCTCCTCCAAACGACGTATTCTCCGATCAGAGTGGCAGTGTGGAGGAGCTTCAGGTCTCCAGCAGCTCTGTTGTATCGGACGAGCTCAATGGCATGTCCGGTAAGCTCTCTCCGAAATCGGTAGCGAATTACGGATTGTATTTGGTCGGCGTTTTCGTATTTCAAACTGTCTGTGCTGTTTGGTTTCTGGGAAACTCGACAAATTCCAGGAAAAGGCTGGAAATTTCAAATGATATTGGAAGTTCAAGTAGCAAAATTCTATTGAATGGAAGCGGAAACTCTTCCAATGAAATAAATGGGTTGCGAGCCGGCAATTTGATTTACCTTGACAAGCTCGAAATGAACGAGAAGATCACTGAGATCCGAGCCATGGCACGAGATGCACGTAAGAGTGAGCAAAAGGATGGCAAGAAGAGTGAATTCGATGAAGGGATGAGCACTAGTGGACTGCTAGATATTGAAAAGGAGATTGGTGCAAAATTGTCTTATATGGAGAAGCGGTTGAATTCTCAGCGAAAAGGGTTGGCAGGTCTATCTGTATCACCCATGGACAAGTTTGGCAATGGTGAAGGCAAAAGGAGTGATCTTGATATAGAAGACGATGAGAAAAGTTTGACTTTTGAGAAAAAGTACAAGTTCAAGGCCGAGAAACCACCGAGTAATGCGAAAGGCTTTGGTGGTATTAGAGGAAATAGAGGGAAGTCAGGGCGGAATGCAAACGCTAATGATTTGCTAAATAATGAGAAGAAATCCGAAGAAATGAAAAATCAAAAGGGAGCTGCAGATCCTGAGATTATGTCTGGTGAGATTCGATATTATGTTTAAAATTCTTGCTCTGGTGTCACTCTAGAACACATATTGGTTGTGCTGATTTGGGAAGAAACTAGATAAATGCTTGAAATATTACCAGTGCGATCTAATAAGCCGGGGCTTGAGATTTAGGTAGGCAAAATATGAAATGAATTGGATAAGGAACATGTGTCATTGGAGTCACTGAATTAATCATTGAGCTGACTAACTATACGGATTAAACAAACTTTCCATGAAGATGAAATATTGTGCAATCCGGGTTTCTGTTAAAATTTTAGGTGCTGTTCAGGAGAATAATGAAAGGCCATCATCAAACCAAGTTAAGAAGTCAAGAAGTTCCTTGTCAAGCCGAGGAAATGGGAACATTAGGAGAAACGGCAGTGAAAGGCAGTCCGGTAAAGAAAATGGTTTTTGGTGGTTGAAGCTTCCATATGTTTTGGTACGTATATACTCAGGCTCTCTGCCTTTCTGATTTGTTTACACAGTTTTAGTGTAGTAATAACGAAAGTTCTATACTTTCTTCTTCTTTAGAGAATTCTTATGCGGAGTAATATTGACGAAGAAGTATCTGAGGGTTTCTTTATTCTGAGAACGGAATCTGCGGATAAAAATGAGACCGAGAATTCATACGTTGTTGCATTTGAGGATCAAAATGATGCCAGAAACTTCTGTTATCTGCTGGAATCGGTTTTTGAAGATTTAGGTGGTTTTTGCACCGATATTGTTCCTGCATCAACCAAGGTAAATACTCGTACTCTGTAACAAGACGAGAAGAAAACACATTGATAAAGTTCGATCGAAATGTTAACTGCTTAGTCCCAACGGAAATACAATCTCGGCAGTTGTTTCCAAGGATTTATGACTACTTTAAAGTTTCTTTTATGTTCTTTTTTTTTTTTAATCAAATTGAAAACTTTCCCGCAGGATCTTCTCAAAGAAGTGAGTTTGTCCGGGAAGAAAGTGATCGTTGTGAAGAAGAGGCAGCTCACTTTGTATGCCGGCCAACCATTTGAAGACGTCGAAAGAGCATTGCATTCTTTGATCCAAGAACAATGAATATAGCAGCTGGAGATTTTCACAGAAGATCCAGGAAATTGAGAGAAACAGAACATTGGAAAATATCTTCCAGAGATTTGATGTCATGACAGAACATTGTTATTAGGACATGAAAAAAGGAACAAAACAACTGATGTATAGCTCTGTATTCTTCATCAATGGAAACCGACGTTTGCTTTTGTTGCTTCAGGGAATTGGAACCAAACTCGGAACATAATTGCTTGAATGATGCCAATTATGACGTCCATCCAACCTTATGAACCTGCCACCCTCTTCGAAAATGTAAATGGACTGTGCCATTATGTCTTCAGTGTATAGAACTAGCGTCTTCCTCTTGTTCTCTTCAACGAAGAAATTCAGGTCCATGAAATACAAATCTAAGTTAACAGTCATGAACTTGCTCCACGATATCTCGATCCCATTTCCAATCTTATTCGTTACCCAAATCCTGATTTTCTTTGCAATGCACTGCTCTAACACCGAGAGCCGGTCTCCTCCTAAAACCGACATGCATATGCGCACGTAACCTGGATAAACATGGTTAAAGGGTAGGTTAGAAAAGGGCTTGAATCTCTCTGTTGCGAAGTCGAAACTTTGGATGAATCCTTGTGGTGTATCTTTCCTCACGGCAATCATATAGGAATTTCCCTTGAATGATACAGCGAGTCCCAGACTTGAAGGAAACCAGTCGAAGAAAGGAACATCAAGAACCCTCCATCTACCCAATGTAAACTCGAAGATTTCAGCTCTTGGA